TCCCGTAGAGATAGGTATACCATATATGACGACCCGCTTTAGTTTACACTATCGAGGCGAGATTGAGATAACGAAATGGAAACGGAGATCATAAAGACATTGCTTTCACTCTTGTATTTCCTACTGGATGAATAATGTGGCGAACAAAGCAAAAATATAAGGATTATTTTCGAGATAAGCGTACCCGTCAATTTGACGGGTCCCGTAGAGATAGGTATACCATATATGAATCTCAAAAAGTAAAAGACTTAGGGAAAAAACTGTGTGTATAAATTCTTTAGAAGAAATTATTAATTTACGACGCAAAACGGTTGAAATCGATCAAACGGTTTTCGAGATATTCCATTGCAAAGTTTGAATTCCGTCAAATTGACGGGTCCCGTAAACCTAGTATTAATGAATTATACATATTTTCATATACTTACAGGTGCAGAAATTAGATTCGAAAAATATATTTTGAATTTCAGGCGGATGTTCAGCATTCGGACATTCATGTTTTGGTGGCCACGGAAAACGATCCGAATCGAATCCTCTTAACGCCGTCTTGGAGAATGTTATTGCCAATCGAGAGATTCAGGATTACGATGAGCCACGATCGACTAACGATTATTTGTTCCCTGATGAAAATCAAAAGGCTCAAGATCGTCAATTACGTCACTCTTCCGATCTGATACAACCACCTCAGCGACCTGAACGTTATCCTTTGTCGTTCGTCATCAATCAATGGGTAGAGCTAAAATATATGAAATGAAATTTTTATCGTATAAATTTAATGAATTTTGAATTGTATTGCAATAATATAAGGTTTAATAATATTTGTCATTTTTTTACGTTACAGTTGGCATCGTATCGTCGTGCAAATGGGGCCGATTTAGAAACCAAATAAGAAGACGACGTTCTTTCAGCCCCGTTAAAATAACTAAGCTTAAGATGGATAAACAGCAAAAATAAATAAATTATCGTTATTGTCGTAACCTGTGACCTCTTTCCCTGAAACCTAACACTGACTGTGTATAACGAGAATGCAATGTTTTCTTGTAAAAAAATATTCATCGATCTCTTGAAAATTGGTTATTGCCAATCACGTTAAGAATTTACTTGATTCGTCGTGCCCATATAAACCACTCCTAAATGTTTAACAGTATTGTTAATTGTCTTAAATAACACAGTAATATTTATCATTTTAACCGATACCTTACCTTCAATCCAATTTCCACTTAATACAGGCATAAATATCTAGTAGTTAAATTACGCAAGTGACCAGTTTCAGACACAAAAGTCTTGTAAAATGACGGCTGGAGATTTTTGTATCTGATAAAAATATGGATTCACTTTGGTTTCTTTACTTTGAAACAATTTTTTCATTTAATTTTGAGTTTGTTGTTTTATAGGAACAATGTGTACATTCTGCTATATCTATTTATATATTAAAATAGTCGTATCTGCCGTACGATTGGTTTCATTAAATAAAAATTTAAGCATAAATAATTCATGTTCATTGCTATTTCTTGAGCTTTATACCAATGTCTATATTTTATGTATCCCTTTTCTTAACAGTGAAAACCTCCTCTTTCATGTTTCTAGTAAGTATTGATATCAATAACAATATAATCGTAATGATATTAGGTATACTGCACTAATTAGGGAAATCTTTAATTTTCTTTAGCAACCGTTTCACTTTACACTATAAGAGCATCAAGTCTTACAATTAAACGTTCCTGACAATTGTTTGTATGCTGTCATAAAAAGTTCCGTTTATACTATTCACCTTCGAGCTTAGAATCGGCACTAAACATTCAAGACTCACCATTGTGGACCAGAGAGTGAAACGGCTAGAAGAATAATGCAAAAACATGCATCAATATACGGAAAGAATTTTTCATTAAAAATTACCGGGAAACACACGGTAACCACGGAATATCATGGCATTTCATAACATATTACCTATATAATTAAAAACACTTCATGAACACTACAATTTTTGAAACTTGAAGTATGTAGTGTAAAAGTATAGCTTTTATCTTGTCGAATTTAAAAAGTCATCTTAGCCGCGCGACTAAACACGGATTCTTCTTTTTCTTCTTTTCTTTTGCGGCTTACTCCAATTAAAGTGATGTACCGATAACTACTTTAGAGATAGATTATGAAGAATTAACATTATTGACCATAGATCGCGCCACAGTGGGACTAGTTGTGACGTCAAAGGACTACTGCTAGCGTTTGCTGAGGGAAAAAGGTTAAGTTCCAGGCGAGGACAATCTGCTGGTTGACAGGTTCATTCACATTCAAAAATCAGTATTGGCTTCACGTTGAGCTTTTGCAGTAATATGATATGTGTCCCTGATACATATTTCTCATTCCCCACGGACCCTTTTTTCAATATTCGTCTACAGTTTCGTGAAATAGTTTGACAAGTGCTATATCATAATTGACAAAGGCCATGGAGGACGGCCATGACACCATCACCAGCTAGTCAGTATTCATATTCTAGAGAACGATAAAAGTTCGGCCTTTGCAGTGACTGAGATTTTATCGAAAGGCTTTAATTCAGTCAAATGCGTTTAGTGACAGTGCTTCTGTGCTTTGATTTTTGAGTACGAAATTTTTTGCTTTGATGCCCTGTCAGTGTGAATCACCCACGCGTGAAAAAGTCTGTACGGTTCCCCCTTAAGATATGCATTTTTATAAATACATATGTGAGCTAGGAAACGCTTGTACGTTGAAAATCTGAGGAAGGTGATCTTTGTACAAAATATCTTTTATTATAATTATATATTCAAAAATCATTGTTGAACTTTGATTTATAATGTGTGATAGATTTAAATATGATGTATCGGCTAATGATTCGCGGAATCGACGCTGTATAACTGAAAGAATATAATATATGATTATGTTTATCTAAAGTAGTAAAAATTAATCTTATGCTATTATACCATCGATTTTACACGAAGTTAGTTCTCTAAATACGTATATTTATTTTCATTGTGCCTCCCATAATTATTGTAGATAATATTATAAATGTATCGTAATATTCATGTACAATGTTTTGGAAAATCTAACTATTGCTTTTCAAATTATATGATATTGAAGTTTGATTGCTAAGTTATAATTTTTCTAACTGGTTTTTTCAAATTATAACATAATAGCCACCAGATAATATCAAAATGTTGAGCTTAAATCAGATGGCGTCACATATCTAAACGACCACTAAGGGTAAAGTAGGATTTATTCACAACATTTTGTTTCTATCGGTACCATACCTATAATAATTGTAGGCGGCAAAACAGAAGCCTATTTTACACGGGCCACGACTTCAACCCATATCGATCTGATATCGTAGTATACTGGACAGAGATTGTTCGGTGAGTACCCACTGTGCACGAAAAACTATGCATCAATAAATGTGATATTCAATTAACTGTGCGCAAGGTATTTTATCCAATAGGTTTAAGACTTAATCTTGTTACTGTTAGCACTTCAAATTAATAATTGAGTAAGAACTTTTTCTAAATTAGAAGATAAGATCTAATACACCTAGATGGTTAATAAAAAATTCAGACTTTGTTTTATAAATGACCATACAGAGGACCATTTTATCAACGGTCAACAATATCATTTTTTTTATATACATATTGCAGAGTACTAGCATAACGTGTGTCGGTATGGACCTATTCTACATTATTGGTATCGTTAAACTTATATTGAAGATTTAAAGGCTTTTTCTATAACATAGCCCAGGAACGCAATATCGAAATATAAATTGATAACGTGTCTTTTTACTTATATGAAATTACGTATTCAATTATATGTTAATTTTTTATGAAACTATTAAATGTAATTTAACAATCTGTATTTAAGATAATTTCCGATTTTTAAAATATCAAGATATAAAAACTTTACTTCACTAACAAAATTTCATTGTGGAGATGGAATTATTTATTTACTTAGTTTCTGTCGCCGGTTTGAAAGGATTATATGAAAGCTGTAAGAATGATACTTTATTTACAAGATTTTTATTTGTCAAAAAACTTCAAGGATATATAAATCAATAAAATCTTTGAAACTATCAAATATAATACGCCGGGGGGGAAAGGGGGGGTCCGTTTGATAATTTCATTATAATAATTCAAACACTAAGATTCGTTTTTTGAAAAATTTTGTTTATTTATTATTATTAATATGTATAGAAATAAAAACGTGTTGTTTAATAATCTAATAAATCCTGTTACTTTATTTTATATTGACAAATTAACTCCATAAATATTATAGAAAATACTGGTAGACCGTTTTATAATGAAAATATAAACAAAACATAAACATGTGCAAAGATATCAATTGATTTATTGTGCGTAGCGAAAACTCTATTATGTTTTCAAGAAATTCATTTAATTGAAAAACACCCTCAGATACCTGTTAATTCGTTTTAGTCTTATACTGTCGAACCGGTTAAACGTCATTGCGTGGGTTTTGTGGAACTCAAGGATTTCGTTAGTTTCGATTACGAGGAAAATGTCATTAATCTTCCGCAAAGCATGTTCAAGAATTTCACGTTAAACCGGATTTATTCGAAAACTAATTCTTTATGTATCTACAATACGAGGGGGATACATTAGTTCAATTTCTTATAACAGCATTGCAATTAATTCTGATTGTTATATTTCTGAGAGAATGCGCAATAGGTCAATTCAAGCATAGAGTCAAAAGGTCCAGCCCATTTTACCTTGTGCTTCCTGCTTAAAAACGACCACTTGCAGAAAATACAAATCAATAGTCAATTACGTATATTCTAAAATTCCTACAAAGTACAATATAACGTAGATTATAATGATATTTGAATTAAAGAAAAATTAACTGAAATTCTACATCTTTTAATTGATAACTCTCAGCGACTTAAAGATTTCATTATTACTCAATTATACAGTGCATGGAAAGACTATAATTCTCGTTAGAAATTTCAAATTTTAAAAATAATCATGATTTAATAGAGAGGGACAAAGGTTTCATTAAAAAGTTTTTAAATTGAGACTGATGAAAACAGTATACATTTCTTATTAGTTATTAGTGTTACTCATTCACAAAATAACTGCCATCATTATATTGTTGTATCGGTATAACCGAAAATACTTGCTGGTTTGATTGTCAGTGAAATTGTTAGATAATACATTTTAAATCTATATACTCTTTCGTAGTAACGAAAAGGAATGGGTATTGATTTGCATAATTATAAAATAACATAATTATCATATGATGCTCATAATTGATTGGATTAATTTCAGATAAGATAATGATAAATAACGTATCGTTCCATAAATTATAATAATTATTCGCTTGGAATCTGAATAGTTGACTCGATCGTTGATAAAAAATAATTGTTGTGTATGTGCAATATTGCACTCTATTCTATTAATTGACTTACGATTAATTTGAAATAGAGGCCGATTTTCTTAGTATTTATATATATATACACACACATATGTGTATATAAAGTTAGTAATGAAGTATTTAATAAGTAGAAGATACGTTACCACTGTAAATAAATCCAAACTGATTATCTTTATCAATTTTTATATATTTTAAATTTTAATAAAATAAGAAATTTAAAAAAAAATGACAATTACAAAACACCAAATACGATGTATTTTTCATTGGGGCCAATTACTTTGCAGAACATCGGCCTCTTAAGTATTTCATTAAATTGCTTGACCATTTTTCAATTTTAAGTGAAGTCAGGGTTTGTGAATTCCATTTTCACGAATCGAGAAAAAAAACGGTGACAACTAATAACAGCGATTCGGAATAGCTAGTGGTTTTTTTCTGGTACAGAACGTCATTGGTGCTTCAGGCTCATTCCAACTTTTCGATATCGTTGTTCTGAAAAAAGTATTAAAAAATAGCATCACTAATATCGAACACATCGGTAATTTTAGAAGCTCGTCAATAAATGTTATTTTTGATTATATAAATATACGGATGGAAAAGTTTACCAATAATTTGAAAAATCGCAATATACGCGATTTCCTTAGTCGTTTCCCATATTCTTTTTGTGACGGTAGTAAAAGTACTTCATCAGTCTCGTCACGTGGGTCTGTTGACTCGCTACGGATTTGTTGTCCATTTTGCATGTTCATTTCATTTTCATTCTCGCCATCTTGTTCATCGTCTTCATCATCGGCCCGATATCTTAAATGAAATAATATAATAAATAAAAGTGAAAAAATAAAAATAAAAATGAATTAAATGATGGCTTATTATAATAATAACTGTTACCAATATTAAAGAAAAATATCGATAACTAACCGGTGAGGATAGTTTTGATTTTCAGCAACAATTTCGGAATTCTCATTATCCCACTTTCGTGGCAGAAGCTTCATTTTAGGCACGTCGTACCATTTAGTATGAAATTTGGCCGAAGATGGAACGTGAAACTGTCTAGTTACCATACGTGACAGTATCCATTGATCATCAAGCGATGGTAGAGCTGCTTCCTGATCAGCATCATTTTTTGAATTTTGTGTTAATCCAGATCGAGTAGGGCTGTTTTCAAAGTTACCACTTCGTTTTCCGTGAGCTGTAAATAATTCAACTAATATTATTCTTATCATTGTATTACTTCCGTTCGATCATCCAATGAAAATAATAATTTCGGTGTAGAGGAGAACAAGGAAAATATTTAGATATTGTTATATTGATTCTGTACGATAAATATATGCTAAGATAATATATCAATATAATATAAATAACATACCACCCCAGCATGAGTGTCCGTAACTCAAGCAAGATCCTGAAACATAATAAAAGTAATTCCAGAATGATTGTTTTCGTTGTAAAGAATTTTTTTCAATTTTTTCTAGAAGAAATGAAGATTTATTCGATATTGAAAACTGCAAAAATATGCACTTTTTAGGTTTTAACTCGTAGAGTAAGCAATAATCGTTTGTATATTTCGATCATGTTATTGAATGAAAAATTTCATAATATTCAAGAAGACATTAAAGTAAGATATTTTATAGGTAAAATTAAGAGAAGTCTAACATAATATTTTTCATATAGTAAAACATTTAAAATTGCAATTTCGAAACGTGCTAGTTTCGTTATTCGAACAATTGGCGTCCAGATTTCAAAATTAATAGAGTCTCTAACGGTAGATTTACCGACATTGGTACTTATTAATTGAAAGGTATTATTAATTCCCAATTTGATCGCGTAATAAATTCGTCATGTAATCAATTAATTTACTTTTCTGAACATAATTACAACAAATTAAATAAATATCATTAAAGAAATTTTTTGATCATGCTAAGTAAAATTATTTTTATTTTAATTACAATTATTAATATATCTTGTGTACAAGATAATTTTGTTAACCTAGCCATCAAAATGTCCGCTCATAAGAATAACAATAGTTGGAGAAAATTTGACTGGGACATATAAAGCATTGAAATGTGCACACAAGCATAATATCTAAATGCAGAAAACATTGAGATCTACAAAGAGGTAAATAAAATTGTGCAAGTGAAAATAGAAGAATAAAAGCTCAAGAAGAAGGAATAATATCCCAAAGGTACATAGGTGCATTTCTTTATGACTTCTGACAAACACAAATAAAGTTGTTATTTTTGCACCATAATAAAATTTCCAATATTTTTTTTAAGTATACGAATACCACAAATTTCTACAAAAAACAAAGCATAAAAAATAACGCGAGACAAGATCAATTTTGAAATTGGTCAGGTATCCCTATACAAACACTGTGGCTACTTTTCTACAGCAATAGGAATAGATATACGGTATCCCTCAATGGCGTCACAGAAACAGTCTCTTTCGATTCTAAAATTTGATTGTGGCCTACAGAAACCCTATGGGACTCCATATGTCACAGGCTTGGTCGACTCGAACCATAGCCATAACCATAAACAGCTGTCCAATTGTTCACACGTTGCTCACATGGGATTTGAAAGACCGTGTCGCATGTAGGAAACCTATCAACGGATATTCTAATCGACTTTGTGTTCGGCTCCGTATTAATTGTCGCTTTAATATGTGAAACAGAGAGGATGAGCAAAGAGAAAATTATGGTCTCGTAATTAAAAATTTTTTTTTATTAGTATTTTATTGTGACGTAAGCGAAATCAAGAATAAGACTCGGTTATTTCTATTGTTCTACCTTCGAGAATTTATCTCGTCTCAATATTAGTATCATTGATTAAAGAGGCCTAAACGAATATCATGAAAAAATTATCTTCTGATAATATCGTGAAAATTGACGAGGATACGTTTGCCTGATATACATAATAAGAAAGAAAAAAAACGGTAAAACAGGAAGTTATAAAGATTCTTCATGTACAATAATAGTGGTGTATGCAAATAATATCTTAGTTTCAAACGGCAGCCTATTGGCTGTACCTATGTGTCATTAAAATATACTGTACACAGTTTATAGATACAAGGTATGTAACACTCAGATCTCTTCTAAGAGGATGCGTATACGGTTGTAGGTACTTGGTGATTTCATTGAAAAGGCGGCTTAATTAAGTCATAATAAAAGCATTCAGGCCGGATGGTTGAAAAATTCTAGCGCAGTGGCCTCTGCCAATGTATGCATACTATAAGTAAGAAACTGAAATACTCATAAGGGTAGAAGCGATACATGTTATTCAAGCACACAAAAATGTTGTAATTATATAGAGTACGTATGCTATATCCACTTTAAGCAAATGCATTTTTTTTTCTAGTTTCTATCCACCCACAGGATTTTCACGGAATTTCGGGTGTCTTTCTTATTATAAGTGAACATGCGAGAAGAAGTAATCGCGAAATGATGTGGAAAAAGTTTATAGAGTTACGTGAGCTGCGTATATAGGATATATAAATATACAATAGTATATCTATGATAAATTGGAAAGAGCGAAGAGGAGAAGACAGGGGAAGCAGTTACGCTTCAGGGAAATAGTACCATTAAAAAGGGTAAGTTAATTAGTACGTCGTTCTCAGGTGGAAGTCACGTAACTATCAGAAGCGTCAAGAATCGTTTTATTTATCGATCTCCATATGTCGGATATCACTAAATAGAGAAATAAGCATCGAATACAATATCGATTCAAGAATTGATCAGTTTCTCTTTTTTTTTTAACGAAAATACAATACTTAGAAATCGATTGATATAGTAGTTGTAGTCGTAATTGCTTTGATTGTTTTACAAAAATATTTCTGTATAAATTTACAAAAAGTATAATAATTTGAAAAATTTTCAGAACCTCGAGATAAAAGTTGATCGGTATTTAAATATTGATGAAAGGTCTCTGTAAACGATTCTTAATACTTTAGCGAAAAGCGATATTCGTTTTAGATCTTTATAGAAGAATTGTAGAAATTTCGATTGATTTTTATATTAACGTAAATAATTTTTAGGGAAGGGGAATGTATCTGATCAATCTTTGATTGTCATATATTTTTTCTATATTGTACTATTTTTGTTATACGCTTGATACTCCTGAATTAAATCAACAGGTGCCTAGAAATATAGACGCGACGCTTGCCGACGCTCCGCTTGACGTCCTTGTACGCTGCACTGAAGTTCTGGAGATTTGTTTAATATTTAAAAATTAAATTCCTCTGAATAAAACTCGCCAGTATTTAAATTAAATCTTGCGAGGAATGGCACTGCATATAAAATATTCAAACAGACAGTATTTTTTGATTGAATGAGGTAAACTGCCAATTGGTATCATGATTATTGATGCGAATTTTTATTAATTAATTTTTACGCATTCCAATTAGACTCACTGATATCTGTCAATATTACTTTCGCGTAATGATAAAAATCAGTTTAAAAAAGATAATATTTCATTATGTTTTATGCACGTGTGCGTAGAGTTGATATATCTATAAGATTGGATACACGTTATAAGCTTGTACCAATCGGATGCTCCTTCTACGTATGAACTCATGTGTGGTTCCTTTGAAATGTCAGTAACTGATAATTCAGCAATACGTTATATATGTGAGTCACGGTAAAGTGCAGTCTGCGATGAAAACAATTCAACAAACAATTATCGGAAAAACGTGACTGGACTTCCAATTTTGTATTGTGTTCTACATTGGATGCATTTTATTGGCTGAGAAGGGGTCTCCTTTGAGAATTATTTTGAACCTTTACGAATATCATCCCTTGGGAAAGGAACGCTGATTGCTATATCTCGTGCTGAGACTGTGATAAATACACGCTACACATACACTAGATATGTCCCATATTTATTTTTGTTCTACATCATAATTGTATACATTGTGGCGTGGCATCTCAGGCCTGTCACAAAAAAGGCCTAATTTGGGGACATCGTGGGGCCCGAGATGTCGAGGGGTGGTTCTCGGGGCGTTGGAATAAATTGGCGTTTATCAATTATGAATTTTCCTCATCGAAGGTTTTTTTTGTTTTTGAGTCGTTATGTGAATGCACAAAAATTCATTTCAAAATTTCAGTATCTGCAGGGCCTGAAGAGACTATGTACGTGCATGCGTCGCCCAGGATTTACTACGTCGGAGAATCATTGAGTCTTCGCCGTTCAGAAGTTTCTTAAGAGGTGGTCACGGTGGCCACGGAGCTGTGCGTCGAGGGATAAGAGACAGTTCAGATTACCAACCTCCTCAAGATCTGACTGCAAGCTTCGAAATATTTATCTCAAATGGAACTATGTTTTGTTGAAGTAGTGAGGACGTGCAACCGACGTGGAACATTCAGCGAATTCGGAGAGGGTAAGGAGCGGATTGGACGCTGAACGTACAAACGATTGGAAAGCGCGAAAAATAACGTCGTTTGAATTTCGAATACTTCACAGTCATTCACGGTTTAGTTGAGCCTAGGTAAGGACATATTTTGCTTCGGTCCAATTTTGCGTTTACGATTTCTGATTTGCCGTTTTGCGGTTCCAGACTTATATTTTACACTTGATACGTTTATATCGCGGAGGAAATTACAACTTTAAGGTGACTGAAGAGGGACGTCATAACTGTGAAAAGTCATAATTTATTTGAATTTAATAAAGTAAGAACAAATGCTCATGCCAATCCCATGCGCGTCCATTTTTTAAAACTGGACTCTTGTATGACATTTACATATAGATATAGAAAATAACTGAGAAATTCGAGCGTGAAAGTATTGCACGTATCTCACACGTCCTCAATTCTTAAATATTTCTTAAGAAAGTGCTCCCGTAAACAGTTGTAGCATTTATTTATTTAAAAATCGGTGTATTTCATTGCGGATAAAGCAATTCAATTATATCAATTCCACGTTACTTGCAATTTTCGTGATTGATTATTTAACACAGCCTTTGTTACTCCCCAATCGTCTCTATTAAATTTTCATTAAATCTGTTACGATCTGTACAACATTCGTACAGCTACTTTTAACGGTTTCTTGTAAAATTACGCGATGCCAGACATTTTTCAAAAAAAATTCAATTATGGATACCAGGCACTGTGCGCAGTATCATAAAGCCATAAAGTCACGCAAATTAGGATCCCGCAATTCTGTAAAATCCACCTCAAACTACTGGATTCATAATGTAATCGGGATGGTATCAAGTTAATCCATAGCTGTAGTAAATCACGAGGGATTTGACGTCCTGAAAAGCGTGGGGAAGGATTGAAGATTTTCGGGATTATATTTGAGTTCATTGAAAATAGTTATTTTAATATCGTGTTTCGGAGTCTTTGATTCATAGATAAATGCGTGATTAATGTAAACTGTCAGATATGAAGCTTATATTCGGATCGTGAGACCAAACACGTTTAGATTTTATAAAACCCATGTAATAATTAGTTCTTTTACCGCAAACGTCATTGCTTTTACGTGAAACGTATTATTATTTTTTTTATTACCGGAATTAATTGTAATGTGTTTTTTTAAGAAAAAAGTTGATTCAGGGACATGTTTTTCGGCATAATATACAGCGGCTGGAAAAAAGCGTTACATGGAAAATGTTTGAAGCTGCACTGTATGCATCTTGTAGTAGGAAATGTGGTAATTTAGTTTTGCTTTTATGCTGCAAAGTGGTATTTATTACAATTTTGGGATTTAAAGTTCGTGAAATGCTCTTATATAACGTCGATGGAAAAATCATAAAATGTATTATATACAGTATGGTAGTAAACAAAATATATGATATATATTAATCATTATAGAAGTAAACAAGAATTATGTAATATTTTGACATCAAAAAGCATCGCAGGTAGCAATTTTCTCGATGTTACGAAAAGGTCATCCGAACGGGTTACATATTTGCGCCAAAAAGATGTCTTAAAGATATCCGGAGTCCGAAAGTTAACTTTCGGACATGGGTTAGCTTACAGATAACTTTTTTGGCGGACATATGTAACCCATTCGGATGGCTTTTACGTAACATAAAAAATTGCTACCTGGGTTTTATACTGCTTAACATGATAATTCCATGATTGTGATATAATAATATACGAGAAATTGAATTGAAGTGCGTTATACACGGGTATTTCAGGCACGATTGTTCCTGACGTCCGTCACTTGGGATCGTATGCACATTGACAAAATTGACTTTAGTTGAAAATTGCGTACAAAATAAAATTAAACTAACGAATAAAATGGGAAAACACATTGATTTCGAGAACTCAAGTGCAATAGCATTTTGAAAATAAAAGTATCTATAGCTTTCTCAGATGAATAGTAAAATATAAAAATTCTATTTATTTACTTATCTAATCAGCCTTATTTTTAGAAAAATAAAAGTAGGTCAATCAAAATAGAAAGTAAAGAGCTCCAAAGTGAACTACGTCCTCCTACAATCAACATATCGTACTACTCGTAATAAATGCTTTCTCGTAATTTTCGACTCTTGTCGATAGCATCGTTTATTTTTTATTTCAGTTGCAATCAATAACAATAATATAAAAATATATTTTGTAACCCTTCATTAAGCTGTATATTTGAAAAAAATATTGCTTTTATATCAGATAATAACATGCAATACAAGATTGATTAAAAATATATAAATGTAACGACTAAAAATAACTCGAAATATCGAAATCACAATGTAACTAAACGTGAGCGCAAATGAGAAGGAAGGCGTACAATTGTTGATTCGATCTTTGAATATGCTATATATAATCACTTTAATACATACCCGCAGCGCAGCTTGCGAAACAGAAGACCACTATGAAAATCAAGGTTCGCGTAGTCGTTGTAAGGGTAACAATTCCCCTCGAAGCCACAATTCCGTGATTTACCCTCATTTTAGCCTCGATCCTGTTTTTTAATTTCTTTTTCCACACCTCCTACGCTCTTGCTGCACGTACATGCGAAGAAGAAAAAAAACATTCTTCAAGCTTATTATCACACAATTTGGCCATTATCAGGATTTTGAAACACGCATCGACGATCTCTGAATGCATATCTCACGTTATAGACATTATTCAAATTATAAATCTCAACGTGTACCGTTATCCTATTACATATTGAATGTTACATATTGAGAGTTAAAAGTTTCTTCATTATAAGCACCGCTCGAGTAACTTCTTTAACTAGAAACTGCGCAAACACCGATCATGGATTTATGATGGATTTATAGAGCAGAGTGAAAAGGAAAACATTTTAATAATTGAGTATATACCGTGATTTTTGGAAATTTACTCAAATATTTTATCACTTTTCAATATAATTTAACGTGAATTTTTTTGTGCAAAACGATCTGTACAGTTCAGGTTACAGAAAAACAAGGAAAGGCAGTACTTCTTCATTGATATACAGTGTCTGATTTTGCATTAATAATTAACGTTAATTGCTCTTCCCTTTTTCAAATGGTACTTTACCTATAATAAATATTTATGTATTGGATCCTATGTAAGGATCGATGTGAAACAATTGTTTTATACTATACGAGAAAGCAAGGAGATAACATATAAAATTTAGTTACGTGTCCGAGATTCACAGATAACAAGGAATCGACGAGATCGGTTACTGCTAACTAAACAAGGTTTCTGGACTGCTGACTAATTGAAGATAGGATTAATTAACACGGGGATCGTCGCACCTCCAACCACCATGACCACTCCCCCATGTCAACGTACCATGCACACTTTATCACGATTGTATTTATATTAGCATTATGTCAGTAAAATATTAGCAGCAAAGAACATAAGATGCACGCGTATATACATGAATATATTGAAATATAAAAAATGGGTAAACCAATTATTTCTGAAGATAATGCGTTGTTAATAACCTTAAATACACTAAGTTTCTAAATATTGCATGAAACTGAATTTCATTGAAAGTTTTGTAATATTGTTAAAGTCGTCGGTGTTTTCCAGCAATGATAAAGGCATCATTAAGGTATCAACGATAATTTCACGATTCAGATTATACGCAGACCGATCTATAAGTTTGAAAATTTGTAATTTATTAAGATTACATAGATACCGATGCAGGATCAGCAAGATCATGTCGATTATTACGATTATAGGGAAAATAGAAAAATATTAATGAAATTATTTTAATAACGCTTATGTTCCACGAGTGGACAAAAATTGTTAATAACAATTATAAATCCGTTATCAACTATCCACTAAACGTTACGTCGACTCGTCCCAAGATCCCTACAGGAAAATACCCAAAAGAACAATTATTCTCTCATGTAGTAATCGAATACGATTTCCGCCAAAACATCCCATTATCGGACACTTTCCCTGATATCGCGTCAATGAAAATTGACAATTGACAACACTGCTCAAGAATCCTTCGTGTTTACGTACCCTTGTACAAGATCCGTGCTAAAAAAGAGTAATGCGAGAAATATAAGGTAATAAATTTCGTGGAGGCGACAAAGCCAGACTAACAATAAGCCAGAGTGAATGCGGTTAATATAGAGGCAGGTGTGGACGGTTATAAGTGAACAATATCGAAAGGTTCGCACCTGAACTCGGACTGCTCCCGTGAGCACGAGGGCTTTTATAGATGCGTCCTGTGTCGGTGGTGGGTGGCAACGTCGACGCCGAGAAATGATGCGACGTGGTGGGGTGCTGCTGTAGCCTCTAGAATCTAGCTTTTAGGCCGTCCCAGGCGCCGTTCAAGTTTGCGCACCTGCGTTGGCGACTGAACAGTGGGCAGGCATGTATTCGGACGGAGTTCCTTGGAAGCAGGTTTAGCAGCCTTAGCTCATTGTTAATACGGTGATGCCATATTGCTTGGTTTATATATTTAAGCGAAGGGTTGAAATCGGGTTCGATTGACCTTCGGCTGCGGTCCATTCATTGGGGAGAAGCGAGAACATGGATGAGCCACCTGTTTGCGCCAGGCGAGGACGTCCCGACGTTGGGATAAGTCGCGTCGCCGCGAGTTACATTGACCTTTCGATCGCGTCGTATGATACGAACGGATGGAAATTGTTATTGATAGCAGTGTTGCTATATAAGGTAAAAAGGGTATTTTGAGAAACTTCTTGTCTTTGTACATTTAAAGAATTGCGGAAGTTCAAAGTTACGACTTTTTTTTGTAGTTCCTGGAAAGTGATTTTAAATTTAAAGCTCTTCGTCTTCATTCACTCTTTGCCTGAACTCTTGTATTTTTCATAAGGGTTTTCACATTGGCGTAGGTGCAATCGGTGAGTTCTAAATTGAATTTGGCTGATAGGCAAGTACCTGAAATTAACTCACTTCGGTGTAATTTTATTTACACGACTAAGTCCCTCTTATTTAACTGAATCGAATTCACTTTCTGATCTTTACTGATTGCAATGTACGATTTATATATATATATATATGTATATTATTGATTTATGTTTATCTACTTATCGCAAATTGATTTTTCCGAACTCTGGATCAACATTGAATTCTTTAAAAAGCTTTCACCTTCTCCTAACGTTTGCCGTGTTAATTTCTGCGGTATCTTTGACTTTTCGACTACTTTCAGGAACTTTCGGTCATTTCATAGTTGTTACTGTAGGGTACATTCGCTTATCTGTTGTATTCCTTGCCTCGATCATCTTTCGAACCGATTCATCCAATTTGTAATTTCTGAGATAATTGATAATTAATATAATGAATGCTTACTTTTTATCGATAATCGCTTCATAATTTTATCGAACGATTAATATGACTTGATAATTAAGAGGTTAGGCTTCTGTGACCAGCGTCAAAACAGGTTAATTTTTGGAAATTTATTTCGGAAAAACTACAAATGAAATATTTTTAATTTTTTAATATGTTTTTATGTATAACTTAAGGAGTGTGTGTAAAAATTTTCATTCAAAAATATTGAAATTTGCACACGTTATTCTTCTTCGCGTCGGCTAATATTTTCCGCGCGCGATCGGTCGATGTACACGATTTCGCAAATATGGTTGGTCTGAATCAAAAATAAAAAATATCCTCATTAACTACATATTAGTTATAGGGTGACGGAGCTTTTTCCTTTTTTTCGTCTTGGGTTACGATAAAAAATTCCTGAACTTTATTCCCCGTTTTCAGAGGTATAACACGTGTTTTAATTATGAATAAATACTGCAAAAAAACGTATTGACAAAATCGTTCATCACGTCTAAACTGGTATTCCTCTGAGCATGTGTACCAAATTTCAAGTCGATTCATCAATTACAGCCCGAGATATCGTGTACACCGTGTTGAAAAATATAGTTTTGAGAAAAACGTGTTCAAAGTTTGAACATACGAATGTATTTATTTATTTCTTTATTTTCAATTAGTAATAATAAAAATCTGTCTAATTGAAAAATTTAAATATACCTGAAACTGTAAACTAAATTTATATCACATTTAATACATAGTTCATGTTTTACCCTCATATAAATGAGATATGAATAATCAAAACTTCGTTATGTAAATTTAATATATTTTGTTGTTTTATGTTATTATCAACGTTTAAATGTCTTAAAAGAATTGCATTTTCACAGGGTCAACACTTTGTATCAAGAAGCTTTTTATCGCGTACGATGATATTATATTACATAAACGTTAAATCAAAAGATAATAATTTTTTGGCGGTGTATACGGTCACGTTAATTTTAGCCTTACGCACGGTATGGATCTCTTTACTCAGCCGTGAAATCTATATGTAAACCACTGATGCTGTTATCACTGGAAATTTCATTAGACATCAGGTATCTTGGTGAATCTAGTTGGAAATTGGTGGAGCCTATAATCTGGTTTACTCTTCGCTATTGTCAGCTAACATAACGACGTTCACCTAATGACGATGGCTTTCGCACGCGTTTCTCGTGCACAATATATATACATATATATTCGTTTTCAGGATAGCAAAGTATAGTAAACTTTCCTAAAATTTTAATTTTTTTTCTTTTAATTGACGGGGTATCAATTTAAGTTTTCGTAATCCACAATCTTAGAAATATGTTGCTTAAATATTCTCGAATAGATTCGAAAAAAAATGATACGAAATCCAAAATTTAATGCTTGTTATTAATTTTTAGATTGACACAAATTAAATTCTTCTAAAAATCCAAGCTGCTGTCCAATTAGAAAAAAGGTATTTAACTACTTTCTAAGTCATGTATGCATTTTGAGGGACATAAATAAATACTATAATTATTCCACGCTAATAATCTGAAAATCTTGAAACTTTATACAAAGTTATTAATAATCGCCATACTACCTAATAATAAAAAAGTTGAAACTTGCAATTTGCTTCCTTTGAATCGTAAGTAGTGTACGAAGTCCTTATATGAGGAAGCATTTTCATTTTTTTTAATCTTTGGTTTCCTCATAGATGAATTTTCATCTACTACCCACGATTCAGAGGAAGCAAATTGCAAAATTAAAATTCTTGGCTTCCACATATAGGGACTTCGTACATTACTTACGATTCGGAGGAAGCAAATTGCAAATTTCAACTTGCAGCTTGTTTAACGTGAGTCCCCATGCCTCTGACAACTTGGGGTCCTTCATACTGTAGAGAACGCATGTGAGGATAAACCTCTTGCATGATCTCATCGGGCCTAATATTTTTGAATTGGCTGAAATTCAAAAACTTGAAGATATGTATAATCAGATCCGTTTTACCAATCTCCGCCAAAATTGAGACACATCACGGCTAAATGATACTCTATATGTTTCGAAAATTGGAGCTCAATTGGTCAAAGTTGACGGGAGTTATATTGATAAATTTAATTTTTCGAAAAATTCAAAATATCATAAAATCAAAACTTCTCGATCGATTCGGTCCAAATGCAATACCAACCAACCTTGGATACATATCTCTTTGTCAAGAACTATTTAGACGATTATCAGAAAATTTGCGATCGCTGGAGTGCGAACGCCCTTTTTTTGGAAATTTGAAAATGACATCAATTTTGAGCCACAGCTTGAATCATGACGAAAATTATAGTCAATAAAGGGATTATACAGCTGCATATGCCTGCAAAATTGGGGGACTGTAGCTAAAACCGTTCTCGAGTTATACATGTTGAATTTTGGGAGGCCATTACACACATATACACACACACACATACATCCGGACATTTTCTCCAAACGTGTTTTCTCGACGTTTTGGCACATTCTGAACACGGTGACATGAAAATCTCGACAGGAAAATTTTTCACCGTCGCATAGCTTCCTCTATGAGGAAGCAATTGATCGATTATTAACAATTTCGATGAATTCATAAGAGAATCGATCGACTTGAATAGCTCAGGATAAGACAATACAGTTTTCTGAATGAAGCACCAAGAATCTAGTGCAGCAAATAATAAACGTGTTACGCAATGCAGCCATGTGGTATGGGAAAGGATCACAAAAGTAACAACAGTTACGCACGCCACCCACGCCATCCGTGAACGCACGGGACATTAAGTTCGCCAGAGATATCGTTTGCGCACCTGGAGCCCTTAACCAAGAAACTAGACGTTATTCGTAGAAGTACCATTTGAGGTAATATTTGCCAAAGCTTTTATTGCGTAACACCTAATCGCTTTATTTAACACAGTGTAATACTTGATAATATTGTACCAGCCGTATTTAAGGTACGCAGAATAAATACAGCGAATTACGGTGCTTATGGTATTAATTCTAATAAAAATATTTTAGGAAAAAAAGACTGATACTAAATAATCAATATTGTTAGACAAGAATTAAATATAAAAAGTAATAAAATACTATTACACGTTAATATAGTGAAAATCAAATGAATATTGTCAACTGACTTGAATCTTGCTTCCTTTTCATATTGAAATCTTTAGTGATCTTTAGTTAAACTTTTGTCATCGGTTCGTAAAAAAAAAAGTTCAAAGACATATTTTTTCGTAAATAGTAAATTGAACTGCGGGCCGTTAAAAGGGATGAATACGATCGCAATATCATTTTATTAGTCTGCATGAACTTTCTAGTACGAATACGTAGAAATAATGGTAAGATTATTTTAAGTGCAAAGCATTATCGTCGTTTATTATACACGAATTGTGACGTCACGTTGATCCCCTGACCGAATAACATATCTTGCTACTACTATAGTATTGATACGTCAGTATAAAATACAGTAACGATCAGTCACATATGTATATATTCTTTTATTATCAAAACGTGTATCAAAATACGTCTTATAACAATGTATTCGCATCGCCGTTCTTACGTATAAATAAAGTAACAAGATCGGAACGATCGTTACACAATAAATATTATGGATGAAATTTCAATTCTTAGTCTTCAAATAATTGATTTATTTACCAATAATATAATTACGATACAAATCAATTTATTCTTGCTTCCATTGCGATAATTGCTATGACCGACTTCATTGGTATTTGACAACAGACATTTTTGTGCTATATCCGTGCATGCAAAGACCTTTCAATGGATTTTTATTTAAACACGAAACGGAGATTCGCATTGAGGTAACTTGGGAAAAAAAGAAAAATATGACGTAGCATGTATCGATTATTCGGATGTTCTGATATGGCCAAAGGAAGCAAATCTCGCTGTATGGTAGCGTGGCTGTAGGGTTCAATTGGCACGTTGTTACTAATGTGTTAATCAAACAACAGCACACTCTGTTCACATTGATAAGCGTTACGGGGTGCAGCATGTGCAGTCCTTACCAAATCCGAATATTATTTAATTGTTACAGTATCTTAAGATTCACTGAATACACTTGGTTGGCATTTACTGTCTTATCAGTTAACCTGTAGCGTTATATGACTTTTAGTGTAAACTAATTAATCTGAGCCACGACATTGTTTTATTACGATTTAATTTGTGGGGGGTGAGTCACCGCTTTATTTTTAGCCCAATGTTTTATTTTTATACAGACATTCTTTTCGCGCGGTAAAACGAATGTAGCTTGGGTATTTTTAGAAGTGTCTACATATATTTTAAAAAATGAAACGCAAGAATTATGTTCATTCTCAAATATAAGTAGCACGTTGATGATCGTTATAAAAAAAAAATCTCTCCAGGAATCTTTCTATAAATCTATTTGACAAAATTTCCATAAAACGTCAAATCTTGAAAGCTGCCTTTTAGGCCTGCTAGATTACATACGGGCGACCCAAGATATTCAAAACTCTTGCGGTTCTTCCATCAATTTGTGATACCTGCGTATCTTCGAAGTGCTTCAAATACATTATAAATAGATCTCAAAACGAAGTGAAATATTTGATAAATGTAATATATACGAAGTCAATGCTCGTAGAGCACAAGCACAATCGTCGCGAAAAGATCTTATAGACGTCTTTTGGGAGAGCTTGGCAATGTGTTGGAAAGACGCTTAGAAACAGTATTTCTCTTATGTCACACACTTCTATAAGTGTATCAACGACCTTATTCGGACATTCTAATTGCCGCCGCATATAGTGGCGCTATAGTAGTCATTATATATATGTGCATGATGCGCACGAGTAGACGATCATTATGAATTTCTGGTCAAACGGTTTGATTGAGGTACAAAATAGGCAAGTAATAAAGTCACTGTTAATTTGTAGTATCCGTATTCAGAAAAACATTATTAGTCCTCTGTCAACTCACTTATATCCCTAAGAAAAACACCAATGTAAAAATAATCGTAGTCGGCCCCGCATTATCAGACTCCAATTTTGACAGACTATAACGAAAATTATAAAATTTTACCACATAACTGTCTAGCTATTGAAAGACAAATTTTGCTTCATTTTTTATAGCAATGTTTAATGCTATATATGTATTTCTTCTTTTTATGACTTAACCTCGAAATCTGATGTGGAATACTGACGTTATGTCCTAAATACGAGGACTAAAACCATATGTTAATACTGACTTATGGTTTTTGCAACTGCTTGGTTACAGGACTGATTATCAGTACCTACAAGCGAGGCATGTAGGAAGTTAGGAGCTGACTGACAGTCGGATAGAAGACGTTTAGTAGCTGAAGAAGAGCTCGTTAGAACGTCCATAGGATATACCTGTGTAGTATGGGTGACGTATATAGGTATAAGGTATGTAGTTATGTAAGGTATGTATATGGAACTATAGAGTATCAATTTAAAAAAAAATTGTCCTAAAGTATATTTTAAGCCAGAATTCGTAAGAATTTTTGCCCCTGTTTGAAAAATTGAATACACATGAGTTTTTCCAAATATATAGGCGTATGACGTCACGATCGATTATCAAGTTTCATATTGTTTGACATATTGGATAAATTGCTATGGCTTCACGAGATACTAGGAATAATAAGACGTTTACAGTATAAGGAAAAGCAATTCCGTTGCGGTATCTTGCTAACTGACTATTCCCGAATTGTAAATGTCAACGTCGACGCCAATGCTATTTGGCAACGTTAAAGGAGCGAGGGGAGAGCGGCGTCTGTACAGTCTCTTCCATCAGAAGTTTGAAGAACTGTTTATCAACACTCGATTACATCATAATTGTGTAATATTGCAAGTTATTGCAGTTTAACCACATTTACAGATAATAAGAATTAGATTCCTTTCTTTTGAGAGTTATGGCGTCTTAAATTATATTTTCATAGCTTTAACGTTTGTACGGCGAATAAATTTTCTTCGATCTTGTAAATGGATTTATTGATTTTTTGTTTATCAAGTGTTTCCACGCTGGAATACGATTATATGGAAAAAGTTAATAATTGTAAAAAAAAAATTTTAAATACAATATATAATTTTTCATCGCAGCCAAAAGTATGATTTCATTGAGAATATCGAAATTTCTTATCGCAAGAGAACTCACTTGGCTTGATTTTTCAGTTTCATTGAGATTAAACCAGAAACTATGTTTACCGATATAACGTCATAATTACAATTTCAATCTGAATCGATCCGATTATTTTTCAATTCGTTACACTCGCGTCTATAACATAATCTCGATGATTGTCACACATGTTTGCAAATATTGGAAAAAAATTGTGGGTCATTCGCGAAATTACAGTAATCTGATTATATACTAATGGATCGTAGCAAGGGATTGTGTAACTTAGCTAATGACATAGGAACAATAGAAGAAAAGTATGAGAATCTTGAACAAGTTTTTTTTCTACAGTTTACTAATTATACATTGCCCCACTAATTTTCCGGTGGTTCATAGATTATAGATTGATATTTTAATTAGAAAAAAAAATGTATCCAAAGTTTAATTGTTTACAAAGAATGAAGATTATTCAAGAATAACGAACTGTCAAGGATATAAATATCTAGGAGAGTTCAAGCGTCACTATCAAGTGTGCTCGAGGATAAAGTCGATAAGAGCCGTAAACCCAAACTGATAGGGAGGTGATAGAATGATGACAAACCCTTGGCTTACATTCAATTAAGTTACCCCGGTGTCCCAAGTCCAATAACCACGCTCTAGGATCCGACCTAGTATATCGATTCTCTTAGAAGAAATGTCTAACCTTGTTTAACATAAAATTTTAGAAAGAAAAAGGCGCGAGATTTATAAGATACAAACATGCATTTATAAGTATGCATAATACCTTGTGATAACTTCCTATATTGTTCCTCGTGATAATTTCCTCTCCAAGGTCATCGACCTTTGGCGAGCAAATGCAAAACCTGTGAACGATCTCTGCAATTCTCGTTCAGTCAATTGGATTGGAATATGAAAACCATTTTCAAGTCAGGAAATGTTCTAGCGTGTGACGTCACTTTCCTCTATATTGCTTCACCTCTTTCGTCGTTTTCACGCGTCAGCCAGGTAATCGCGGTTGTCTCCTATCAAATCTTATGAACTTTATGGCTGGAAATTGAAGATATATATTTTCAATATAAATGATAAGCGTCACTCATTTTATTATATTTATTATATTCGACACAAGAAAATAAATATATTTTTTAATTTCATACTTGAACGAGAGTAAAGCAAAAATTTTCACATTAAAATTGGTAATGGACTAACTTAAAATTTGGAATAGAATTGACAAATATTTGATATATGTGTAAAAAAAAAACATACAATTAGGTGATCAATCATGATTGATATAGATTTGTCAAGTCTTATAATTTGAGCTTAAATAGTGTGATTCAGTTATTCAAGTTAAAAATATTAGTATTTTTACTCTTTAAACTCGTAGTACGTACTACTAAAAACACTGTACGACATTTTGACATGCTAAAGAGCGTCTGCGAAATTTTTCAGAGACAGATAGCGAAAAAATGTGGCATTTGAGAAAAAAAAGTTGTTTAACGAAGAAAGGAAGTAACACGTTGAATAGCTTTGAGAATGACGCAGAAGATATCTAGTCAAACCTTATAAATATTTCAGGACACTTTTATTTTGTAAAGTTGAAGTGTCACAAACTTCCGCTATTGGAGTGGACTCGTGTAGAGACTGAAGAATCAGGAAGTTCACAGTTTGGCGTTTATTCAGAGCTCAGTGGTGTCTGCCAGGTACAGTCGATGTGTCGGAGTGTCTCTTCTCCTCCAAAAAGAATTAAAAAGAAGTTTTGCCCCTAGGTAAATGCGGGTGTATGTACTGGGAGAAATGATGAAAGTGAGAGAGATAGCAATAGGTCGGAAAGAAAGAACGAAGAAGGTTTAGCGTAGGTACGTTGGAAAAAGTGAATCAATGGTCTGGTCGTCAGATTTTATATTGCCGCTGGGTCCTCCGCAGCGGATAGGTAAAGTAGAAGAAACGATAGAGAGAAATTTAAGCGGGTAATAAACTAATTTGAGACGTTCGCAGCCGAGCATTGCATGTAAGTAAAATTCAGCATACCGTAAAAATGAACGGATATAAAATACAAAATATCAATAAAAAGTACATAGAATCGTGATTTTGTGTGCGTATGTGTGTATCAGAAGCATATGTAGAGCTTTTAGTCACCAAGATTACATTATTAATAATTTTTTTAATAATAATAATACACCTTTAATATATTGAAACTATATAATTTTTTTCGGATCAAAAAAAAAATATTGAATTAAATTTGAACTAAATTCTGTCTCGGGTTATGACAAAAATGTATCTTACATTTAATTAGAACTATTGGTATTCGTTATCGATTTTTTTAAAATGGATGTCAATGACAGGAAGTAATTTCACATTAAACCACCTGAGACGTCATTGTTCATATCGATCGAACTTGCCCGATTATTCGTTGCTTCATTTGAGCCACGAAAATATATATAGTATGACGTACGACTCGACCAATTGTGGAACAAATGTTTTCTAAATAAGACGACTATCCCTTTTGAATATACTTGTAAAGAGATAAGTTCACTTTCGTTATTTCAATCTACCTTGACGTACTTGATTTAATATTGAGAAATATTATAATTTAGTAAACGTAAAGTTTACTTAATGAGCATAAAGAGTTACATGTATTATATATTGCACGTGCACTCTATCGTTTATTTCAATGATTTTTATATATACTTGAGAACCCATGGAGACTAAGGTGAAAGGTAAAGTTCAAAAGAGGAAGAAGAGACACATGACTGCAGGTCATTTGCCGTGCATGAAGTTGAAATCGCGTAATGGAAACTCAGCGTTAAATGCCTAGCGACAAGTTCATCGCGGGTGACCCAGAAACTTTTCGAACCAATCTGCTTGATAAGGTGATCCTATCGATAAGGTGTACTAACGTCATGGCATTGTCTCTTCTCCGCTATAGATGAACAATTTCCGTATCGTCGTTGTGTTATTGTTTCATTATGTAGATGACGTGAACAGTGGTTCCGGTTCAGTGGGTCGCTCATGTGAACACACCCTGCATTCCCTCCCCTTTCTTCTTCGTCGCAAGGTGCCTTCGACCTGTAATTTCGAATTACCATTAAATCTTTTTCTTCTTGGAGAACTAGTGATTTTAAGTAGTTTTCAATTTAATTATTGAACATAAGCGTTATGCGTTTATGAATTAATTAATCACCAACCGATATCTACAGGATTGAATGGGACGAAGGGTGAATATATATTTTTCTTATTGTACGATGAAAAATAAGTATAAGATATTTAAATGGTAAAAGAGTAAAGCGATGATATCGACGATTTGAATTATTCAGGAAATATTGGTATATCGGTGAAATATATTATTTTATTCGAAAATCGTGTAAACATTTATTCTCGTTGATAGGTCAGAAACAAGAATGGGACTTCAATGGCGGATTTAACATGGGATGCACTTGCGTCAAGTTACTAACAGATTGATATATTATGATGGCAGACACATGGCTTTGGGTGGGTCACGTATAAAACGTTCTATGCGTACGTACACGGACCATTTCACTAGACAAAATGCATTCGCAATAAAAAAGATAAATAAACGAGGCGCATAAAACGTAACGGCGCCCGATTTACTCTGTTGGTAACGCCTGGTGGGTGTTTCGCTCCTAGCATTAACACGTTACACTGTTTCGCGAAGGCCAAAATGGGCTAAACACTGCGGAAACTTTCCGCTCTCGGAAAATTTAAATCCATGTTGCTCTAGCTGGTTGAATCATTTTCACTGAGATTTTCTCTTCTGATGTATCGCATCTTTCTAAACGGGCTTGTTACGAATGTCAAAGTAGATACGATATAGCCTCGTCGTAATTTTCATTTCCTTTTTTACTAAACTGAATAATTTTGTAATTTTCAACAATTTCAAACGTACGTATCCTGCTTTTTGTTCGTAAGACAGACTGTAGCGTATGTATATAGCAAAATTTTTGCTTATGGATATGCGATTATGGGTGAAGGTGAATGGGGAAATTTGTATTATTGATTAGCACGACATGAAGAATATTATAAAAGTTGTAATCCATTAAAATTAGTATAATTAACCTTAGCTCGTCATACCTGATCCGATGAATCCGGGAAAGCAGTGCTTTCTTCATGTTCGTCATGATACTTTTTTTTTTTTTGTAAATATTACAACTTTCGAACAAATTATATTTTGATATCGAACTATATTTTACTCTTGTTAGTCAAATTTTCGCGTTTCGATTTCAGTCGAATTAAACGTAAAAATACGAATTTATTCAAAAGTTACGTAATAATGAAATCGCCGGTTTGACAGACCATGGGTTGCAAGATGGGTGCGACGATCTAGATTGAATATTTGACGGATTTGATCACAATGAATTTTACAATCCTATAAATTTGAGCAAATTTTTATAAAACATTTTATTAATTCGTCTGGCGACCAGACTTCGCCACACGCCATTGCCGAGAGGAAGAAGCAAGTTTTAAAAAATTTGATGGCAATGAATAAAACAGTAATTGCGACGTTCGGCGTACTCATAAGGGTACGTGGTATCTAGTGTACCTACCCCATGTGGCACGTGACGCACTCACCTATATTAAATACGCTTTACGTCAGGGGCGTCAGCTTTCCGTAGTCATTTTAATTACACAACAGCAACAATCCTATTAAGTTGAGGTCGTACAGGGCGCCACCTAAACGTTAATACTATTCACCTATACGTTAATACCTGCAAATTATATATTTTAGTACCATCCTTCAACAATCGTTAACGATGATCTTCGCACCCTAGCAAAGAAAGTTTTCGCCGAATCATTTCATTTCTCAGGATCTCAAATACATTGTCACGTGGAATTGTATACAGCAACTGTATAGAACTTTACAGAAGGTTTGCATTCAGCTGGACAATTGGAAGATTCAAAGTACGAGAACACGTGGGGCTGCAGGATATTTATATCCACTCAGATACCATATGTGCTTAATATTAAATTATATAGGACACTTTGACATACGATCTATATACAGGTTTATTCGACGTGAATGATCTACTTGAAGTTAGCCTATTCATTTGATTTTTATAGCAAAACCACATTCAGGTGGTGAGTCGTCCTATATAGGTTATATATATTGAGACGTTTCGTGATTTTGGTGTATTACGAATCACGAGACTTTTTTACAGGGTTTGTGCACTGGGCAGGCGTCTTTTGAAGGAATTGGATACTTGAGTTTTAACATAAAACAACTGTGCTACATTGTCCCATAGATTACACTCTAGGATGTCCTTAGTATTCTATTCCACTCACTCTCTCTCTCTCTCTCTCTCTCTCTCTCTCTCTCTCTCTCTCTTTCTTTTCAGTTCTATTATGATACCGTAGGCGACAAGAAGTGTGTTTATTTCCTTATTCTCTCTCCTAGTCTCTCGGAGTAGGAAAGAGGTAGCTGGAACCACAATACAGCAGATTGCACAATGCGTCCGATGACCGTGGGCCAGCTGATCATGAGGATGATAATGACTCAGTACCCACAGATGATCACAATGAATCCCGTTTGCTGAATCTCTTATCTTGATGATGGGTTAGACTCAGACAGCTACTAATCACGATGATATTAGGAGCTGAGTCTTTTTAAGATGGGTTGCTTTACGGTGGATCTGCAATCCTGACAGGTCTATTACGATAAGTTCACTGCAGGAGGATGCAGAGGTAATTGGGACGCCCTTCCTGACACTAGGGGATATTACAATGATTCTTTAGGCCTGGTAAGAGCTATGGGAAGCTCAGACAGCTACTAATCACAATGATATTGGGAGCTGAGCTTTTTAAGGAGTGTGGTTTTATGGTTTTGCTCGATTTCTGACAGCTCCAGCACAGTGCTTTTGATGCAGAAGATCTACAGGGATGGCAAATTTCCTGGTACAGGGTGGAGACACAATGCTTTCCAAGACCAGGACTTGACAAGGATGAGTTCCCACAGTTTGCAGTACAATACTGTTCACTGGTTCGCTCGGGAATTCAGGATAGATTTCCTACTAGTTTCTTGATTATTATTCTTTCCGATTCTTTTACTCCTTCTTGTCATCTTTCGGTGTACACGAGTCTTGGTCGGACTCGGTATCCTAAAACGGAGTCGAGTACAGAGTGAATTCCTATCGAGGAAGCCGGTGCTTATACCCTCGATTTCCTCCTGGCTGTCGCTATGACTAATCTCAAGGGAATTATATAACATTATGAATTTGAAAGTCCTATTTTCCCTTTTCCTTTATCGACGTCGCTTTGAGAGGTCGATTAGGAGTTTTGAGGAATTCTAGAATGTGAGGAGTTGTCTCGGATACTATTATGCGCATCCACAGTGCGCTATGCACTCTTATGTGGGGCTCTTGACGTATCCATCATCGAGAATGGATGATTAGGAAGGAAAAAGTATAGAGGATAGAGGGCTATAAGGACGGAACGTTACAATATATAATATATGAGTCCATTTTCATATATGCATCTACCCTCCTCCTTCGATCGACCTTTATCAAATTCCTTAATGTAAAAATGTAATTGAAATATGAGTGGTCGTAAGTCTAGAGAAATTTTTTTAACTAATATCAATTTAAAGCTTGCAGAATTCATTTACATTGCAAACTGCATAGTGATGCTTCTTATAAAGCAGAGTGATGTCACGGTCGACCATACTAACCACGTCTTAGGAGGTTCATACCTCTTTGGGTAACCAGCAGTTGGAAAATACGGAAGATGCTATGTATGATAGAGGAGAAATATTCATCTTGTTTTCCGGGCGATGCGTTGAAAATTACATGGCTGCAAATACTCCCAAAGCTCTTTGTCTCTGTTAAATTATGTCGAGTTATGCTGTTCTTAATTTCCTTATCAGGAAATAATCGAGTTTTCGTAATAAAAGTAATTTTAAACTTACATTATCTTATATTTTATTATACATTCTTGTATAATTATATTCTTCTCGACAAATCATAAATATTTTGTTGCACAGTGAACACGTCATTTAATCGATATACAATATAGATTGTTAATGCTTTCGGAGCTGTCTGCATTTATAAGCATAAATACTCGATTGATTTTGATTTTTTTTTATCGATTTTTATATCATTTGTTTATTATACTTCAAAGACATAGATCTGTGTGATATAGAATGATGATTTCAACATAGTTAAGTGTCGTTAATTTTAATATACGTAGGCCTTCGCCGTTTGATATATTCTGCCTTGTTGCACGATGGACATTGTGGATAAGGGACGAGATTTGCGAAGTGAAGAGTGATGTAATATTGTGGGCTTTATTGTGGCATTTGCAGCTCTCTCGCGAATTCTAAGTAGTTTGAGAATGTCTACGTCGTTGAACACTATGAAGAAACCATTTTCCAAAATCACACGCATCCATATCCTATCCTTTTGTGCATTATTTATTGTATTATTATGCAGGGTTATATACTGTGACGTTAATCCACGACAGACGGAACGATACCGTCACAAGTTACAATACTCCTTACTTTTCCCCGAGATCTAGGAATTCGGAATATTAAATGCTCTTAGGCGCCAGGCACACCTTTGTGCCACGAGACTGCATAGGAAGATTCCGAGGGAAAGAAGGAAATTAGCCAGGCTAGATAGATCGCAACGAGATAGTAGAGGGGCGGAGATCTTATAGATGGTACGCTGAATAAAGACTGAGAACTTCCAATTAACCAGCAACAAAAATAACAATTGGCCCTTTATTTTCGGACTTCAAAGAATTAACAATGATAACAGGATAACAAAATGAAATAGTAATTTTGATACCAATAATATGAAAGCCACGCGATACGGGATTCCTTAAGGGACGCGTGGATAAACGACAAGATACGATATTAAACGTTAGCTACCGAGAATTAATCCGTTGCCGATACTGAGTTACGCGTACGAAGGTCGACACTATTCTGGCGAATAACGGCACGTATCGGTTCGAGTGGCGGAGTTAACAAGAATTATGAAACATAAAGAATATGGAGAGTACGGATTCACACAGAATAAATAATATAGATACAATATTAACATACGAAACTCTAGAAACAAGAAGAAAGATATCTACAGATTCACAGAAATGATAATTATGTTTAGAGAATATCAATACCTTATTTAATACTGTAGGCTCTTCAACAATATGCCTTGCTACTTATTTCTACGTCCTACGAGTCCATCACGGGAAGCCTGATCCACAAATTCTCTAGGATTCTCCAGGGTGACCAAGAGTAATACGATAGCCGAAATATACAATAGACAATGAATTATAATAAACAGGCAGTTCAAGCGGTAGGCACGGAATCTTTTCCTACTGTACGTTACGCGATCTTCTCCTAGGCCGAAACCGGGAGGAAAGTAATAACGAGATACAAGTTCGCAACTAAGCGGTAGCTACACCGACGGAAAAGATTTCGTCCTCTCGACGACGAGACGCTTACCGTGAACGATGCTAAAAGGCTTCTACGGTACAACTCTTCAAAACGAGACCACCGGCCAAGACGGCAAACTAATCGAGAATGAATATCTTCGGGAGTTCTTCGGGACTCGGGGCCAGCGCTGGCTCCGTCATCCCCGCCGGGCCCTCCTGGGCCAATCATCGTCGTCGAAGGTACTCGCCAATTGTAGGCCCCCGCGCTAATTTCAAAACACGACTCTGGACTTAAATTCATCTTACGATAATTGTATCGATAATTTCTAACAACTTAACCCTACAAGAAGGACACGGAAAGATATAACGTCTATAACCGGAGCCTCCTTGTAAATTATACAATTTATACTTTGGAGGGCGGTTCCGCTAGTTAATTCTTAATCCTAGTCCTCGCGACCGATCCTGTTTGCGGGACTCGGGACTCCTCGGGATGTCACAACTCGTTGCCGTAGCTAGGGTGTCCAGATACTTCGTCCGGAGTTGATTCTCGTCCGGACTCCTGTCGGGACGGATAGGTGGTGGAGGGTAGCGACCCCTCGCACCTGGACAGCTTCCAGAGCTTTCCATCCTCTTCGGTACCGGTGGCGTTCCCTTCGCGGGACGTCCGTACCGGCGGTAATGCGAGATCGGTATGATTCAGTGAGATGTCTTATGCTGTCTCGGCTTCCCACTTGATTCGGGGGCCGCCAGCTGCGGGGTGGTGGCGCCTGGTGACGTAGTGCGTCTCCACGCTCCCTCGCGGGACTGGTGGCTACTTCCTTCGAGCGAGGATGCGACCGATGGTCTGTCTAGGCGTGGCTGATATTTACTCCCTCGGCGAAACGTTGATGGTGCTGGTGGCCGGATACGAAACGCATGAAATAGTTGTACGGAACAAAAATAATTAATCTTATGTAATTCTAATGCAATCTTGGACCCTGGAGTTCTTGGCCGGTACCTTTTGCGACTCTCCCGAGGGACGGTAATGCGTCCCGTACTTAAAACACGCTAGTTCTATACTCGGGACCTTGTGATGTGAATTTTAACGTCACAGTACATACAAACTTTTGCAACTTTTTCAATCTTTTTCTTACTCATCTATATGTGATATAGATTCATACGTGTTGACATGAATTTTTTTCTTACTAATTTTATGTAAAATATTCGTAGATCAATATTTATAAATAATTTATTGTATACGCAGAATGCATTTCGAAAATTATGTTCAACTTGTATATACTGGACTGAAAATAATGTTTTTTTTATGGAAGTCATTTTTAAGTACTAAATTTTGCATGCTGACCGGAATATCAGGGGTCTATTATATGCAATTTGATTTCAAACCGATCCTTCAGTATTGCAGTGATTTTAAAACCCTTTGAATCAAACAAAATAGATCAAAAAGGCAGGATATTCTACTAATTTTTCATAATACGTAATTTAATTAAAGAAATAGGCGTGAAGTTCATGCTAGTATTCTTCTTTTACAGGAGATACATACATATAGTAAGTTCCAGCGAAAGTTTATCTTCTTCCGTATTTTTAGTCTCTTGGGAACAGTGGCGCCATCGAACGCTTTAAGCAGGAAATTATTAAATATGATTTTATCATCAGTCGCCAATTATGGGCTAACTTCTCGAAGGACAAAGTCTCACCGTCGGGAAGTTAGCGTCGAAAGACAAAAATTTATGTTTTTATTGCCTAACCAAGCAGCAGATTTTCAAATGATTTTCTTAATGAATTAATTACTCTCGATTCGCTCCATTTTGCTCCGCAATTAGTTCTTTTATTTTATCACAGCAGCTTTAGATAATAAGTAAAATTTGATTTTCTCTTGGCCCGATTGCAAACGTAAACAATATGGTTAATTTTCAAACACACCTGTGACAGATGTGTTCAAGGATGAGCCGCGAACGCTGAGAAAATACTTTTTCTGTTTATTAAATGCTAGATACGTATTCGGATTTAAGAAGATGCAAGCGTTCGTACAGAAGCCCGGTAGTGACAATAAATTTCTTACTGTGCACTTCTAAACTTTTTCATGCTGACAAACTCTGACTGAATATACTTAAATCTGCCGACATTGAGTAAGTTTACACGCACGGGTTTTACACAGAATTAACTAATCTCGTGTAAGGCTTAAGGTCTTTCTACAATGCAATATAATAAGAAATAAGGAATAAGAAATAAACAATAAGATCTTCATTTGATATTTACGTAATTCCATTGGATCCTCCAATCAAGAAGGAGAAAATCGTTTTTAAAACCGAGCGTTTACTAAGTCTCTACGATTTTTGTGACGTCTTGGACATAGCAACGATCCGGAAGCTGATGCTAGGGTCGCTAAGGATTTGACGGAGCACGAAACGTCATTGTCAAATGTCATTACCTGTCAACTGTCATTACCAGCTCTATAGACGAGGTCATTATCAATATCGTTAAAGAAATGAAATCGTTGCTATGTCCAAGACGTCATAAAAATCGTAGAGACTTAGTAAACGCTCGGTTTTAAAAACGATTTTCTCCTTCTTGATTGGAGGATCCAATGGAATTACGTAAATATCAAATGAAGATCTTTATTCTTATTTCTTATTCCTTATTTCTTATTATATTGCATTGTAGAAAGACCTTAAGCCTTACACGAGATTAGTTAATTCTGTGTAAAACCCGTGCGTGTAAACTTACTCAATGTCGGCAGATTTAAGTATATTCAGTCAGAGTTTGTCAGCATGAAAAAGTTTAGAAGTGCACAGTAAGAAATTTATTGTCACTACCGGGCTTCTGTACGAACGCTTGCATCTTCTTAAATCCGAATACGTATCTAGCATTTAATAAACAGAAAAAGTATTTTCTCAGCGTTCGCGGCTCATCCTTGAACACATCTGTCACAGGTGTGTTTGAAAATTAACCATATTGTTTACGTTTGCAATCGGGCCAAGAGAAAATCAAATTTTACTTATTATCTAAAGCTGCTGTGATAAAATAAAAGAACTAATTGCGGAGCAAAATGGAGCGAATCGAGAGTAATTAATTCATTAAGAAAATCATTTGAAAATCTGCTGCTTGGTTAGGCAATAAAAACATAAATTTTTGTCTTTCGACGCTAACTTCCCGACGGTGAGACTTTGTCCTTCGAGAAGTTATATTCTTATTTCTTATTCCTTATTTCTTATTATATTGCATTGTAGAATGGCCTTTAAAGAGAATAGCCTAACGTAATTGGTTAAACTTAATAACTATCTGCATAAATGCCTAATATGGCGGAGTCTTTGGCTCGGTAGTTAAGAAAAAGTAACTAAGAATTCAATAGCCAGAAATAAGGAATTCGCCATATTAAGCATTTATGCAGGAAGTTACTAACTTTATACGCATGGATTTTAGAAAGGATTAACTAATCACATTGTGGGTTGTGCGCACGCTGCGACCACGGATATATTGAAAAAAAAATTATTGGAAAAATGTATGTACGTCAGTAATGCAGAAACGTCCACTCGTCAGGTGGCGCGTCGATGCTGAAATAAAAGTTGGACCATGAAAATCGGCTGATTGGCAATCTCCCTACTCATCTCTGCTGTTACTAGTAGAACAAATATTCAAACCTTCGCGATTCACGAACAGCTGGATAACCCATGAGAAGAAGAAAAAAATCAGTTGCACAGAAATATTGAAAATTCGAAACATTGAATAAAGCTTTCCAAATGTTACTAAATATTATTGGGCCTTGACTTAATTTCGAAATTTATTAAAAATATAAAAATGAAGCTAAACGAAAATCTTGCAAAATGTAGAGAGTAGATAAAAGTTGAATTGACATTGTAAAATATCGAAAATGAATTACGTTCAAATTGGAATATTGAAAAATTAAGTGTTTGAAATATTAAAATAATTAATTAAATCAATAATTAGAAGTACTGAATATAATAATAATATTTAGAAGTACTGAAAGTTGCCGAAAATTGTGTGCGCGCAAAGTTATCGCGCAGGACTTGGTGAGTGGGGGGAACCTTTAAGGCAGTGCCCGGACTCATCCTGCTTCAAGTCGGTTTCCTAAATTACTCTCTTGGAAGCACCCCTCTTATTCGCTTCCAGCCTTCTTCTTTTTCTAGTTTTATTTCTTCTTTACTTCCTCATTTCTTTATCTTTCATTCTTTACTTCTCATCTATTTTAACAAATATTCTTTAATCATGGTATAATAGCAGCGGAGCAATTAGGAAAACATAAAGAGTATTTAAGAAGCAACTTTTTAGGCATTAACACTAAATTGCCCAAGGAAGTCATTTTGACTGCGTTTTAATTTCAATTAGAAAAACAATTATGTATATAATGACACAATTTCTTAGAACTTTGTGGCTTTTTGTACAACATATAAATGCGTTTATTAATAATTGTAGTTACCTCCCCCCTTCTTCATTTCCGGTATATATACAGGGTGTTCGTTATGAAACGCACTGTAGTATCATCGTTGCATTCCTTGTCAAACTCTAAGGAATACGTGTATTTTGATTTTTTATTTGATGTATCAAAATTTCGAGATAATCAAGGTTGAAGTTGCAGTAATGCGACCAATCAGAACGCGTTTAAACGGAGCGTAGATGACGTCGCGAGCCAGCCCGCAAGGCCTGCTTACACTAGGCCAATAACACTAAGAGTATCGTCGTAGTGTCCCTGTTTATCTGCATGTAACTGAGTAAGATACAAGAGACGATACTCTTAGTGTTATCGGCCTTGTGTAAGCAGGCCTTCTGGGCTGACTCGCGACGTCATCTACGCTCCGTTTAAACGCGTTCTGATTGATTGCATTACTGCAACTTCAACCTTGATTATCTCGAAATTTTGATACATCAAATAACAAATCAAAATACACGTATTCCTTAGAATTTGACAAGGAATACAACGGTGTTACTACAGTGCGTTTCATAACGAACACCCTGTATATAGGTATATACTAAGTTTCGGTCTTTCTAGTGTTAAAAACATATATTTTTATCTTTTGGCGCTAACTTCCCGACGGTCAAAATCTCGCACGATAAGAATAACGAAGATCCACCTACCGACCAGGTCGACAATCACTAGCGGGTTTAACGTGCGCATCGGTGTGCCTGTGCGCCGAGTTAGCCTCGGGAATCTTGCCGTAGGGTGGCAACAGTGTATAGCCATTCCAGCAATTCATAAGATATTTGATTCAAACGATTCGAACACAGGTAAAAAAGTAGCTTCGGGTAAAGAGTTCGGTCGGCTGTTGCACATACTGTCAGTTGCCTACAGATGGCGCGATACTCGACCGAGTCTCTCATGTTAAATACAAAAATTGGTAAGTAGTATAAAAATCTATTTTTAATTGTATTAACTAACAAATCCAATATCTATCAAATCCTGTCAACTTTTACATTGTTTTTATCATTGCCAAAGATTACACCTATTCTCAGGATTCATTCGACTTCCTCTAGGACATTGAAATGCCTCGCTGAATCCTTGCGTATTCGATACCGATCCAATCACCCTGAGTCGACTTGTACTGTGTGTGTCAGTCTTCACAGAATACAAAAGAAGTTCCGGCCTGATGGATTCGCACCAGGTCTGTAAAAAAAAAAAACAAAAAATTAAGAACAATATCCATATACGTGAAGATTCACTAGAAATTCTTGGGAGGTAATCGCTTTACAAAATAGAAAATCAAAGTACGAAAAACTGATCGAATAGATCATATCAAATCTACTGTTAATGAACCAATGACATTTTCGAGTAAGGTAAATGTCTCAGTGGCCAGACAAAGCGTGTGTACGAGAAAGATGAAAATACGATTTCTTATGGCTGTCCGGGCACTAGGATTGTAGCGTTAGGTATTCGACCACTGGGACGATTATCTTACTCTATTCGTTCGCAGGTGAACAAGATACACTTTAATCAGTTATTACACCTGAAACCTTAAAAACAATAAATTCGTGTAGTTCAGAAATGAATTAAAAAACTTTGCGACTTTTATGATGGTTTCTTGTAATATTTAATATTTTTATATTTCTGCAAAATTAATTATGCCATGTTGACAATTTTTTTAAAATTTACTTTCTGCTAAGAGTTTTCTCTATGATTCAAGAATTACCTAACAAAATAATTTTTAAATTACTTATAAAAAATTATTAGCTCAATTATTCTTAATTGGTACTAGACTGACTGGCAGTTAATCTTTGACGGCAAAATGTAATATTTAACTTGACATAGATTGTAATGATATACCCTTTGTCGGAGTCACAGTGGTAAAAATATTTGACTTTGACACTGCTTTTTGCTTATTTTACATTATTATTCATCAGTGCAAATCTAATCTTTTTTATAAAAATTTCTGATCAGCCTTTACCATTAAGACCGCATTTGCAGCTTTTTGTCGTAAATGATGTTTAACATTAGGAATGGTAAGTGATGCTTTTTGAAAGAATAAGAAATAACGTCGTTTCACAACTGATGTTTGATCCTGCTTACAATGACGTCATAACGACGTAATCTCCATTCTTTATTAAAGTGTTTACCAACTTTTTTATCAGGCTCGTTAAACACTGCAATTGTTTTAACTACATCGCAGTTCATGAGTATTTCAGATTTTTCCATAACCACCTCAATAACTGACAGTCGCGCGATGCATCCTGACTGCGATTAATTAATTATGAATGAATTTTTTTTTCATTTGTATTCTTCAAGACTCTACCAGTAAGTACAATTATATGACTGGTTATGCTTATTTCAACAAACTTTAAGAGACCAGTAAACGTTTTATACGCAGATCAGTACAAACGATTCTTGCCTCTGAATTTAGTGTAGAATAATGCAATTATTAAACCAAATTTTTCATGTACTTACGTTAGCATAGGACAAAAAAAAGATTTGTTGATTATTGAAATCCTCCAGTCCTGGAAGTCTATCCTCTGTTATTCCGTCAGCTGCCAATTTTGTTTGATAAGCCTCATAAACAGCTTGAAGTCCTGTGGTGTCAGCAATATTTTCACCTTGAGTCAGTTCACCGTTCGCCTATATTTTTAATAAAATTAAATCATCCATTTGTTAGTATGAATAATATTAAGCAAGCGTCCTATAAATACTTACAAAAATTGTATCGTTCACTTTTTGGAGCTCTTTTATTTGGTATTTGTTAAATTGATCAACAAAGCACTCGGCTCTTTCGTTATAGGCTTTTATAGTTGCATCTGACCACCATTGAATTGCATTTCCGTTTTTGTCAAATTGACGTCCTAAAATAAAAAATTTTCGATTATTTGTTTGGGACTGATTTTTAATTCTTTATGTACAAATAATGGGGGCACTGTATTACCGATATCGTCAAAGCCGTGCGATATCTCATGGCCGATCACGGATCCGATCGATCCATAATTAATAGCGCTGAAATAATAGAAATGTTTAACATTCCTTAGATATATGACAATGGCAAATTATTAAAATTCGTTTACTTGGGCTGAGATGCACTGAAGAATGGAATTTGAAGAATCGCCGCTGGGAATGCTGTAACGCAATAAACAAATTTGTTTTAAATAATCGAATCGTCCGTTAATTTATAAATAATTTAACTCACTCAAAGAATTGCCACTGAATTTATAAAATGCATTCACCGTAATAGGTGCTACGGTCCACCTGAAATAAAACAAAAATATTGTGCAATTTTCAATTCGTATTTTAAAGGATAAAATTTTATTTTATTACTCACTCAGTCTTGTCAACCGGTTCCCTTAGATTCCTCAAACTTTTCCTCAATGAGAACTTTATGTAATTCAATACATTATCAAAGTAGGACGGTCCCACTTTCATCTGTAAATAACGGTAAAAAAAATAAAAGGAATAAAAAAATCAATTATCGAAAAGCGCAATACTCACGCCCTTGTAATAATGCAAAATTGCTGAAACATTCTTGTACCAATCAGGAAACCCAATAAATTCCGTCATACTTCTAAGTTTTTCCTTAGCCGCAGATTTAGTCTCGTTATCCATCCAATCGGAGCGCGAAATTTGAATGTCGAGTTCATCTTCAATCTCTTTAACCATCTCCATAGCCTTCAACGAAGATAAATTAATCATTTTACAATCGACAGTATAATCAAACAAGATCGCCAAGACTCACAGTCCTTTTCGACTCTTCCGGAAAATATTTTTGTACAAACTGATATGACACGGCATGGCTCAACTGATTTTCAGAAACACACGTCTGCCACCTGCAAATTTCATAAACTTTACTTGAAATGACAAACAAACACGAACCTTGTAGTACCCATTTTCAATATTGTTTATCGTAGAATGCACACAAGGAGCATCAACCATAATTATCCCCCCTTTAGTTCCTTCCTTCAGTAAAAAATCCATAATAGGTTTTATCGAAGTTTCGATTGTAGCATTGTTGTCGCTTTATTCAGATTTTGATTGGCTGTCGGTGACGTCAGTCAATGAGTGTGAAGGTGCAATTGAAAGAACAGGCTAACTGCTTCAGGGAAATGTTGGTCCGCGTTCTTCAATAGTAATGAAAGTTAAAATAAGCTGAGTGAATATGATACTGGATGATAGACTTAAAAAAATGCTGATTCATTGCAGAATGGGTTCTTTGATTTATAAAAATATGTATCATTTGAGAAACTGAAATGTTGATAAATAAGAGACTGGTCAATATGGATGAATAGTACTAATTTTAGTTTTCAAATAAAGTGATTAATTTTAGAAATTGTTGCTGCCGTTGGAGAGAGACAGATCCGTTTTGACAGGGAGTATTTTATCCGTGAAAATCGTAGTTGGTTTACAAGTAATGTCATGTAATTCTGAAATATTCGTTATACTTAGAAATTATCTAACTGATTCATGACAAAACGGATTGATATAAAAATACTTTAATTTCAAATTAATAATTTAGTTGCGTTTAAAAAGATGCTGGTGTAAATTGGTTAACCGGTACGTAAACTTTCATTTTCGTTTAGAATTGTTCGTGGCCGGTTACTTGGAAATGACTGGGTTAAATGGAAAAACAAGCGTAATTTTGGAATCGGCGGTAAATTTTCCACAGAGATAAAAAAAAAATTAAATGAAAAATACGTAATTTTAAGTTCAAACAGTTTTTGGTCGATTACTCGGAAACGGCTGGGTTATCGGAAAAAGAATCCAGGTTTCATGTAGTGCTACCAATTTCCCACAAGATGAAAAGAAATTTTAATTAAACCCCAAGAATACTCTAGATTGACTTGTTTACGAGAACGTTGTCATTGTAGCTAGTCGACAGATTGGTCAACTTAGGAACATGCTATTTTCAATTTCGAATTAGAGTGGTTGATTTTGAAAAATGATCTTACCATTGAAGAGAGATAGGTCGAATTATAAATAAAAATAGAACCAATGTTGTATGATTATGAAATATTCCTTATGTTTAGAAATTACCTAACTGATTTTCGAAAGAATTAATTCATTCGATATTTGGTTGGTTTTGGAAAAGCGCTCTTGCAAATTGATTTCTCGATGCATAAATTATATTTGTCTAAAATAGATAAGCAGTATGAAACTGCAGTTCCTCAAAGCGCCGCAGCGCTGCTGTCTCATGTCGCGCCCAAAGCGCGTGTGTTGCTCTAGTAATGTTGAAAGACGCAACAGAAAATCACTGCACGTTATTCAACGTGTAAAATAAAAGTCAATTACGAACCGTGGTTTCTGTTCAATGATTCCGGAAAAATTCTTGATCACTGCAAAGTTGATGTTCCTCATTTTCTCATTTGTGTAGGACAGCATGTTGCTCACGAATCTCCAGTGCAGATAATTGACTGAAATAAAAAAAGGTCGAATATTTAGACCGAAGGCGAGAGCGAAATTATGATTCATGTATTTCCCAGTACTTATGTAAAAACTATACCGATTGTTCTTTCTGAAGTTTTTTCAAGTACATTAACAAGCTTAAAAATATATTCCATTTCGATAACTAAAATCTTCTCTGTAATTTCCACTTGAATGTTGGCCTCGGTAAATAAATTTTGTATTGTCTTCAGCCAGTTTATCTGCACTCACATTAATATCATATAAAAACAATGAATAATTGTATCCTTTGAAGATTTCATTACCTTTGCTTTTCTACTCTTAGGCAGTGCTTTGTTGTACCATTTTTGTAGTCTACGAATAGTAATGTGATTATACATGCGATCCACGTCTCGCCTCATTTCGTCAGGAGACGCGATCTAAAAAAAAAACAAATGTAAAATTACAATTAATATTGCACATTGTAGGGTACAAGTATGATAATACAAAATAACAATAAAAGACAAATACCTTAGCTAATTCGATCTCAAAATTAATCACATCAGCAACGTCCTCGGATATTGCTTTTGAATTCACATCCAAACGTCTGGATTCAGCAAATGCTACTGCCACTTCCTCTATATATTTAGCGTAAGCCATAATTTGTTCTTGATACTGTTCACGTTCGACCAGCATTGATCGCGGTAATGTAAAATCCGGCTGGTCCAGCTATTAAAAATTAATTAGCAAGTCGAATATACCTGAACTACGTGATGTCGCACTGAATATATCTTTAGGTAAGAATCATAACTGGTAATCCGAGTTGACTGATGGTAGTGAATGGACTTAAGGTGTTAGGCCACTGTAGCGGCGGAAAAAATATTCGAAATTACAAAATAAGGTCTTTATTATACAAGTAATAAACTATAAAAAATAATATTTTCAAAGCGATGTCAAAATGGCGACTGCACAGCATTTCTCCGATGACGCCTTTATTTATACGGCAGAACCAGTACCTCCTGCAATTTTTAAGTTACGATGAAAAATCAAAAGTTTTCCGATTATTTATGAGAATAGCTATGGGAGTACATAGCATTTTTTCGATATATTGCATAGTTCCTTTTTTATAAACAATTTCGTGATGATTTTCTCATGACATTGTATCCTTTTATACTTAGAAGTACCCCATTTGGCAAAAATCAGTATATCGAAAAAATCCTACGTACTCCCATAGCTATTCTCATAAATAATCGGAAAACCTTTGGTTTTTCATCGTAACTTAAAAATTGCAGGAGGTACTGGTTCTGCCGTATAAATAAAGGCGTCATCGGAGAAATGCTGTGCAGTCGCCATTTTGACATCGCTTTGAAAAAATTATTTTTCATAGTTTATTACTTGTGTAATAAACACCTTATTTTGTAATTCCGATTTATTTCATGATTCCGCTGAAAAAAAAATGCACAACATACGCCTATTTTTTCCGCCCCCTACAGTGGGGCCTAACCCCTTAATAAGAATAGATACTAACCGTTAACAAATGTACGTTGGCATTCTTTAAATCTGTCGATACTGCCAAACTGTATAAAGTTGCCTCTTCGCTTAATCGCGAATAATTGTCCTGAATCTGCTGCCAGGATATCCTGTTGCTGTTCCATTCCCATGCTCTCATAACCATCGGCCAGCCACCATTTTCTTCCAGAATGATTTCCAGCGGTTTTATACCACTTTTCTCAATGGCGTCTAAAACGAAAGTCTTATATTACCTAACATCAAAATTCATTCGTACTTTTCAGTAGGGTCAAAAACGTGGTATCAAAAATCTCTCTAATAACCATTTTCTAATCATGATATTCACGTATATTAATTAGTAGACAATTGGATTCTAAGCAATCTGGTGAATATTTGTTCAAATAATATATTAATAAGTTATAACTGTCAAAATAGCCATAGATCTTTTCCTCGACACACTTCATCATCTTCACATAGGATATTTGCAGCCAATAGCATCTACTTATAATAATCGTGTAACACTGGACACCGAAGATCTTGAAAAAACGAATAAGTGATATCGTTCCGATGATTGATTGCGATCTCTTAAATATAATAACATATTGATCATACCTAAATTCATGCACGATTTATATAATTGCTTGGCGGCCCGTACCGGTAGAATATCGCTGTCCATTTTTGGTTCTTCTAGAATTCCTAAATAAAATAAAAATAAAAATGTAATCTTTCATCGTGTAACATTTCTCTCAAACCTTTATACACGTTTTTTGTTAACCAGTGCCTGTACCTCGTATACGCTCTTCATTCATTTCTTCAACTATTCTGAATTGATCCCAGCTGGGTTCAGTGGCTGGTATGGGATTATTTGCACGCCATCCGCCGCAAGCATATTCGTAAAAATCTTCGCAAGGATCAACGGACTTATTGAGACTCCGAAGAAATTTCTGGCCTGAAAATAAAATTATGCGTGGTTGTTCAATCACGTTCAACATTGATTTTCTTTTCAAATCACGGAAAAAAGTTTAATACAGTCTTTCATGACACATTACGATAATTAATTAAATTATTAACGTCAAAAATATAAATCCGTAAAAAACATGATTTATTCTCCAGAAAATAAGAAAGTTAAAGGGAAATGTGAAAAAAATGCCCAAGAAAATTTAACCTACCAGTAAGTCGACAGTCTTCCGTTTGACAGACTTTGGCATTCCCCATTTCTTGAGAGAGATTTTTTGTTCGAAATTTTCCAAAAATCCACGGGAGGTCATCAGGTATCTTTTCTACTATCCATGGATGTGAATTTGTCGTGGAACCCGTGATAAACGCCCCGAGGACGATTATTGCGTGTAATCTGAAGGAAATAAAAAAAAATATAAGCTTCTCGAAAATGTCTAACTTACAGAAAAACATTACAAATTATGCTAAATAAATATAAAAATAGTTTCACAGGTCACTAACGAGCGTAAATAAAAAAATTAAAAAATGTCTAACTAAAATAAGAATCTAAAGTACCGTAGGATACGTATAACGTTGATAAATATTTTTTAAATTAAAAAATTTAAAATACTCCTTAAAAAGTCATTATTTAAATATTAATACAGCAATAAGCTTACAATAACATTTCCGTGCACATTTTCCAGGAGCGAGTTCTTCGAAGAACAATAACGTACTGAAGTGAACGGACGAGCTTGTCGGTGATTTTTCAAGTTTGTGACGACGATGACGCTCGACCAACAACGTTCTCATCCGGTAACCCTGAAACTGTTTCTTCGCGAAACAGTCGGTTATTTAAATTTCCCATTGTTAACATCCATCACAGATTAATAGAATTTGACAAGTTATAATAATTAAACAAATAATAATATTATATGTATAATACACGATGAGTAATAAGTATTTACTTACATGATACAACCTTCGAGTCTTCCCTACGAAATTTGTACAGTTGCTACAAAAGTGAAATCTTTCGATGAAAATTTCAAAATTGAAGCTACTTCGATTATTATTTAATTAATATAAATTAACGCTGCTACAAGTGACAAGTGATAATTATACTTGTAATTGATTCTAGGAAAGTTATTGTTCAAAGCTTTCAAAGATTCCACTGAAATTTACGTAATATACAATTGTGCAACCAGTATTGCGAAAAGTTCACAAATATTGCACCATATGCAAGAGTACAATATCAATAGTAAAATTGACCGAGTATCGCGAAATCTGTACTATACCATACCGTGAGAATATAGAAAGAAACGTGTTTGTATATCTTAAAAATATTCCACAAAAACCATAAAATAAAATATCAAATGTTTCAATACTGTCAATAACTTTTCTTACGTACTGCCTAATGGTATAAAAAGTTTTATCAATATATCTTAAGCTCTTACATAACTCATTTTTTCTTAACAGTCATAAAAATGTCGATTTCTCACACTCATTCTGACGTCTCCGTTGTAACGTACATTAATAAATATTCCTCAGTCGCAGGGTCTCTTTTAAAATTATAACTGTCCTGACCAAGTTTCAATTACACTTATCCAATCCTTGTTTTCAGGTCACCAGATACGCCCACAGAGTCCCTTACGAAAACCGAACAAAGAAACGCCAATAATAATAAACAAAATTTTAAACAAATATCTAATTACAGCAGAACCGTGATTATCCGCATCGTGCCGCGAAATTTCGTTGTGATTGAAAAAAGAGCCTTAGAAGCTCGTATCGATGCTGCATTACGTAACATCTGCCGCTGAAGCGACTGCGAGATTTGGCCGTTAAAAAAGTGTAGCACCATACGGCAACCGAAGATTGAAATGTTTATGATAAAGAAATTTTAAAGTAAACGACGTTGAATATTTATTAAAATGTATACACTCAATTATTTTTCAAATATAATATTAGTAATACATAGGTATTACGTATGATCACTAAAAAAATATAGGTACACAATGTTATGTTCCCATATGAAAAAAGCGCTAAACACGACTTCGCGTTTTCATTATGCGAACCTTCCTTAATCCGAATTAGCCCAAGTCATTAGTCCCAATTGATTCGTATAAACGAGACTCTACCGTAATATAAGCACGTTTAGAAGCATGAGCCGTTGAAGTAATCTCAAAATATGTGATCAATGTTCAAATTATTTAGATAAAAGTCCCAAAAAAAAATGATCCATCGTAAGATTCGAAAAGTAAAATGTCAACATTAGTAGAACAAGCCAATAACGTAACTATTGTTGTTTCCTTCCGAAACTCCATCAGGAAAGAGGTAGTTATCGCCCGTTAGCATTCGTGTATCACATTCACGAAAGTCAGCCAGGACCGAGAGTTATCGCCTCGGCCGATAATACCAACATCCGGAACCTCCCACGCTGAGTAACTGTTGATTGAGAATCCCTTTTGAAAAATCTACATCCAACGTTTGTACGCGAAATGTCTTTTGTGTAATACGACGTCATATGATAATACAAATTGCGCATGCGCAGTCTGGGACTATACGCAAAGATAAAAAGGATATCTGATAGAAGAAGAAGAACATAAAGAGATACTTGAAGATCGATAATGTTTCATAAGCATCAGTACTAGTTTATTTAACAGTGTTACACGCACAATCATACACAGAACAACCTTGACTGATTATAGATACCTATACCCGACATATTAATTAGAAAGGGGTGTGACTATAGCGATACAAATCATGGATGGGGTCACATCCGTGCCGTGTACTAAGTGCGGCCAATGATAGGCTCCTCTTGATTTGAGTAATTCTAATAAAAAATTCGACGTAATTTTTTGTAACCGTCGAATGGACATTGTGAAAGGGCTGAAGGACGGTGGTAAAATAATGCTATATATATATATATATATGGTTGTATACAAGGGTGGAATAGGAGGGGTTGTGCATGGGTTACAAAAAAAATATATACTGAAATCTCTGGGAGATGTGGAAAAAGTTAGTATCATAAATAAAAACATACAAGATTGTATATATCAAACGAGGAAATCAAAACTGATGGTTTTTATAACGGGGTGAGGGTGAACTTGGTTGGTGGGGTATTGGTAATAATAGCGGTATGTTATATCGCGAGGCGTTCTTCCTCATTTTTTTTAATACTTTTTCAAATGCGCAAAAAAAAATAACAATCGATATAAGAATAGTGCGGTATAGCGCTCACTATATCGTACAACGTGGAATTTCTTTGTTCCTCATCATTTTATTTCTCTTATTTTTTTTTTTTTTTTAATTTCTTTATTCGCTGATCAATCGTATGCGGCATCCTCGCTATTTTATACACTAAAACGTAGGTTGAGATCTGTGTGCGGTGCCGCCTAGTCTTTGCAAGTTATGGAATAACGATACTCGATATTCTTGATTATCGTGAATTCCTTATTAATTGTCTAATTATTTTATTAGTTCATTCGGTTATCCTCCACCCCCCCCCCACTCTCCCACGTTTCGAGAAGGAGGGACAAGCTTTTTTATATTAGCTGAAATTATTTTTGCACTCAACGCCCGCGCGTCTATGATGTACGCAACATGTTTTATTAAATCGTACCAACTCCGGTCCAGGGAGCTATCAAGGTCAGTTTTTTTTTTTCAATTACTTTAAATATCGCTCTAGCGTTCGGACAATTTTTTTTCAAAATATCGTCCATCTTCTTCACTATTTAATAATCCGTATAAATGAAATCGAATCGGCCGATCTTTCGATTTGTGAGAGCTGCGTGCGACGATCGTTCGCTCGCAAAACGGAAATAACAAGAGTAATCAGAAGTCAGACACATTGAGGTTTTGCTGTTAACATTTTTTCTGTTTTTTTTCTTTCCTTCCGCAATCTAATAAGCAAATTATTCGTCAATAACTTATATACATTTAACGCGATAGCCTCACGCAGCAATGTTACGTGTTACATATGCACGTAGATATCACTGTAAATTCAATAATACATTAAAGTTCCAGCAAACGTGCGCTTTTTTTTTTAAACGTCCAAAAAACCTGGACTTCCGGCTCGTAATGTCCAACGCATCGATGGAGGATCAATTTATTGTAATTCGCTTTTCCTCCTCTCTGCTACTCAGATCTCCTTTATTTTCATACACAAAAGCAGCTTGGGTTATCGCACACGAGTAACGTATCGTTTGTCACACACTCTATACTTTGCATGTAAATAATGCCTATTTTCCAGAAAAAAAAAAAAAGAAAAATTTATACTTTCCATCCATTGTATATCGCAATCACTCTAATTGTTATTGGCGTTACAGATCATTCGGCATGCTGATGGGTTCGTACAACGTGTAATTGTATATAATCCTCTCAGAAATATGTATAGTATGTACATATGTCATAAACCAGCATATAATTACTACGATCTTTTTTCAAATTGAGTGGACTAAGATTATACGATGATGTAGTAATAATAATAATATTTCTAAACCCTTCAGATAAATAACCTTGAACGTGACTGGTTCTCGATATCCGTCGCCATAATTCAGCCATAGTCGATCTGCAATGTACACGAGGATTTGTATGAGATACGGGTTATTCAACTCAGATGCACCAACTGATGTTGGTTTCGCAATGAGCATCAAGAGCAAGGGCTGACTTCAGTTGATACGTCTGAGCTGAAAGACAGTATACCTATAACATATTATACGGGTGATCTAAAAGGTTCGGAAAAAAGCAGTAACTTCTGGAAGAGGCACTTCACATCGTGTGATTCCTATACAGGTTAGGTGAGTCCCCTTCTTGAATTGTGATTCGTTCAATTTTTTGGCGACTTTTCATGAGGAAACAAAACAACCGTTAAAAAAAATCAATGTTTTGCTTTCCGAACTCCATACGCGGTGTGTGGTCAATGACGAGCGTACTCGGTAACCAAGCATGCGTCGTAGTTTATGGATAATGAACGGCGCACGCGCGGGAAATTCGAAATTCAATACACGGAAAAGCATACGCTGCATTACACGAAGGTGTACTTAATGATTAATCTTACGCGTACAATATATGATGCTTATGACTATGAACTACCATACTAAAAGAAAAACACACCATTTGCAGGATTATCTTTTTCTTCATTCTTTCCTTTTGTTTTTCGTTTAATATCACTAGCGCGATCGCGTCGTTATACTCGGATCGCCGAAATCGCTACGTTTACATTGTGCAAGTTTAGTGCAGATGCAATCTCGTATACCAAAAGCAACTGGTAACAAAAAAGAATGTGTAAAAAAAAGTATTTACATAAAGATACATATAATAAAAGATCAGATCCAAATGGTAAGATGAGAGAAAAGTAAAAGTTTATAAAGTTAACAGATGTAATTTTAATTTCGCATCAATCACGATCTATTTTATAGGGAAGATCATTCTAATGTGTCGATACGACTTTATTTAACTGCTTCATACGTATTTGATACGATTGATTGAATTGGTTTGTTTAACATTTGACAAGTATATGGAATATTATCTTCTAAACATGCGTACATAATTTATGAACAATTCATTGACTGCACAAATTATTTTTGTCAACACTCAGCGTGCATTCATGGTAAACACAAATTGCACCTTCACTCAGGTGTAACAATATTCAAGCACATTACGAACATAGCTGATAGAAGCTAAGTATTACGCAGTTGTTGGAAAATTTCCACTAATTCTATGCAAAGTATAGCTTGTACATTAATCAATTATTATCGAATTAGAACTTAGCAATACCATTTTGTATTTTTTTTCTTTTTTACTTAGTATCTCAGTTAGCAACTTATCCGTACGTCGCTCGTGACTTTTTGCCAATTTAAGTAAATCGACTCAAAACATTTTTTTAATTCTCTTTTTCTGGTCACGGGAACGAATTCATCGTCCCTAACAAGCTCAAAGTTTGAGCTTGCAATTTTATTCTGGCTTTTTTTTATCTTCAATATTTCTTTATTGATTCATACTTGATTTATCTTTCCATTATCTTTCTGAATTTTCATCTTGAAAGCTTTATCCACATGCAATCATCCACATCATTGAGTCACCTAATCATGTTAAATTTATGTACAATTTGACACACGCTCTTCATGATACTTTATCGTATTCTTTATATTTTTCATATATCCATGAGAAACGCCTTGAAGTGCCATATTCGTAATGGTGTATCCTGCCACATCACCTCTAACGAAAACGAGACCGACAGCTACAAAGTGTAATCTTTAGTTGCTACGCGACAACCCGAAAGAAATAATAACGGCCGAAACGAAAACTACTAACCAGATTTAAGAGAGCCAATAATGTCGGTCGTCCATTGTCAGGTCGTAGTAACCGCTATGATGACGGCTGTAATATATCGGCTAAAATTTATTTCAAAATGGATCTAATTGAAATAATTTTCACCGCATCATTTATACGACATGAGATCGTACGATCGATTGCTCTTGACAAACCCGATCAAGCTTTTTTAGACTTAGCCGAGAATCCGCTTAGTGTCCGGTTCTGTTTATTTATTGAATCTCGGCGGTCTTCTCAGCCTTGGTATCATCTCCGTGCGTACCGCCCTGGCATAATTTGGCGTATATTGATCCGCCATGGCGATGGGACTTTGCAAACTTTGAATGAAAAGCCCCGAGTCTTGAATCTGCCCCACACCGGCTGTTTGGAATTGATATTGGCTGCCAGTCATATCGGTAGGAAAATGGTTGGACTGCACGAATTGATTCTCAAACTGAGCCGGATAGGCTATAGGACTTTCGGCAGAAAACTGAGGAATCACTGGGTTCACGTTGACCTGAGTGCTAGCGAAGCTGCTAGGGTCATAGGTCTGGAACTGATTAAGTTGACCGACCTGAGGAGTGCTGAATGGCGGAGAATGAGGAAACTGACTAGAGTCTGGGAACAACACACTGCCGACCGTCGGCTGAGGAAAGGAATCCGGTCTGTACTGCGAGAGACTACCCAGACTTTGTATACCTGGACAGCCGTAACCGTGAAAGTCCTTAATCTTGTTCTTACTCGAAGGATCCAGTTGCTTCATCCTGGCCTCCGTGACGAAGGGATGTCGCACGTTAACGATACTCTGTGGAGCTCTTAGCGGTGGAAAATTAACTGGCGCCATCTTTGGCACAGGATTATGCTCCAGAGCCTTTCTAGCCACTGCGTAAGCAGTACTTTCATTCCTTGATGATGGTCTAGATTGTGCCAGGTGATTCAGAACGTTATTCTGATTAGAGAATCTCGGCGGTAGAGTCGCTACGGGTGCTCTGGATTTTAAATCCTGCTCTTTGTAGTCAGGCTGATAATTCTCAAGCTTCGAATCTAGCTCAGTTGAATACTTCTTTCCGCAGTAATCCTTCTTAGTGTCCTCGCAGGACTCTGGTCGAATTTGACTGCTCTTGCAGTTGTCCTTCTTGACCGATCCTGCTGGTCGCAGCTGACTTTTCGCCGCGGCTCTGGCCGTCTTGCTCCCAGAGTGATCTAGCTTTGGCTTGGTGGGGTCTTGCTGATTGATTGCTTCTTGCTGGGTTTCTAGCTGTAGCTTACGGTCGGGTTTGCGAGTGACAGTGACGGCTGGCAGGAGTAGAGCGTTGGCTCACTTCTTAGTCATGATCTTCAGATACTCCAGGGCATTCTGTGCAGCGCTCGCTTGAGCATCCTTGCTCGTAAGACCGCAACCATAGCACACTGCAACCGGCAGTGTCGAAAGCTGCACCAAGCACTGACATTTTCCTGTAATAACAATACTTTTATTAACTCAAAGGAACAGTGGCAACAATTTTTTAACATTATTGTATTATCTAACGAACTATCCTGGTGTTAGTGTTACTAAAAATGGGAATGCAGTATAGTTCATTTGAAAATGAGATGTTGATGTTTGCAATAAGTGACCATTTCCTTGCACGGGTTAAATATACCTATTAGATTGCGAATCATAACAGGTTTGCCGGCCAGTTCAACATTCCATAAATGAAATTCCTTCCTGGTGATATCGTGTAACTGTATACACTTAGTGTGTAAGTAGACGATATAGTTTAGTCTGCGGTCAGCAGAAAATATTTTTAAAAAAGGTTATCAATAGAAGGAGTGTCGTGCGGTGATATATTTTGAGGCATGGCATGTTTGCAAAAATACGTATAATCTTGTACATAATAATGTAAACAAAAGTACATATTACAAAACTACATAACATATTAAATAAAACAGAACTACAAAATCTAAAACAGTTTATCTTCGTTGTGACATAATAAGGTCGTAGGTCAGGTTTATTAGCCCGTATGTAAGCAAAAGTTGAATAAATTGGTGGATTGACCTGACTAACGTTATTCGTATCCTAGTACTTGCAGAGTACAGATGCGGCTAAGTAATTTGACTATGGCAGCCATAACTACAGCAAAGAAAGTTTTACGCAAAGAGATAGAAACGGCTATTAAAGGCATTGACATTGAGGAGAGAAAAAAGCAGTCCAGAAAAGTCTTTGAAAAAGTGAGTTACATAAGTGGTCAAATGTGAAAGCCTATTATTAATTGTAACATCTATTTATAAGAAATTTCTTATTGAATGATCAATAATGCAAAACTCTTTTTTTTTTAAGTTACTCTCGCTTGAGCAGTATCAAAAAAGTAAAAGAATATCTGTGTACTTGAGTACCGCTGATGAAATCGACACGGTTCCTATATTAAAAGATATATTCGAAAATGCCAAAGAGGCTTTTGTTCCAAGATATAAAGGAAAAACTATGCAAATGGTGAAGTTAAATTCAATGGAAGATTACGAAAAGCTGCCTCTGACTAAATGGAATATCAAACAACCAGGAATCAATGAAGTCAGAGACGACGCTCTGGAAACAGGTATATAAAAGTTTTAAATATATGCAGATACATATACTATATTCTACAATAAACGTTGATCCATTATTTCAGGAGGTTTGGATCTAATAATTTTGCCGGGAGTAGCTTTTACAAAAGATGGTAAGTTATTGTATTGTTGTGATTGAATCCAATGTACAGCAACTATGATAGGGACGAAACGGAAACAAATAATCTCTTAAACATTACAATGATTTCTAAATATCATTAACAGTATAATTCATACTATTATAGGAAAAAGACTTGGCCATGGCATGGGGTACTACGACAAATTTCTGGCCACTTGTATATCATCCCAGTCAGCAAAACCGTATCTAGTTGCAATGGCATTTAACGAGCAATTACGAGATGACATTCCCACGACTGATACGGATGTAATCCTGAACATGATACTTACAGAAAAGGATTTTTAACTTCGACTACTAAAAAATCTTGTTACATCTCTGATCAATAAACTCACTGGTTACTAAAAACTAGTTCATGTACCTGCATAGATAAAAAAATTTCACACGTAACAATGAAAAAGTAAACTTACCGCTAATGGACTTTTCCTCGATATCGACGTATGTTACTTCGAATTGCTGTTCGGAGGCAATTTCCTGAAGGAACTGTACGAGGTTCACATCCCCGTCGTTGAGGCAAGTATTCTGCAACAAATCCACAAAGGATTGCTTATCGTTATAGAATCCAGAGCGATAAAAATCTTGTGCTACACACAGCTCACATCTACCGGATTAGTCACGAAGAGTTTGCCAATTATATACAAACCTGCAGCTGACATAGTTTAACACCCGTGGAAGACTTGAGGTTCTTGTGAAACTGTGAGACTTTGTGGCTGTGTGGAGTGGTCAGCGTCGAGATTTTGCTATCTTTCAGATCAGCGTAACAGGCGCTCACGTTCGCGTTTCTTTGAATGATCTATAACGGACAAGACAGAGAGACGAGAGTAGGAAAAGTATGTGTATGAGTAGAAAAAGTTATAGAAATAGATAAGTTAAAAATAAGCAAATTAAGGAGAAGAGTAAATAAAGAGAGTCCCTGAAAGCATAAGAAAGACGAGAAGAACACGCGAGAAGCCGAAATAAAATCATGAGAAAATCTCAAGCTGAAGTGGAAATGATCCGAAAGCGATCGCGATCGTCCGTTATAGATGCGGCTGAATCGGAAAGATAGCTATTAGACGAATCACACGTTACTGTGAGTGATCGCGAGACCCATCACTTCCACTTCACTAAACACACATTCAACACCCTTCATGTGCAACATATAGGACAAGAATTAAATACTTGGACATAGAGAAAATAATATAGGACGGGTATCAAAATTTTTCTAAGAAGAACTCAATGTTAGTATCCTGATTAGTATTAGTTGTAATTAACAGAAATGGTGGATGGCGTAGTATTATTTTCAGGGATCTTAAGGTGTCGTTAGTAGTACCGAAAGGCGAAACGTTGTTAAAGGAACATTATAAGGCACAGAAACAAGCATACTCTTTGCAAGTCTCAAAGTTCATAGCTCACGCCTCGATACTTTCACGAGAGAATCTAAAAGCTCTTTCGTACTCTCGTATCTCGAAAATTTCCACACGCTGATATAGTTTCAAAGATCCCGGAAAACTCGCCAGACCACAAGCCACTTCTCGTTAGATGTCACTGTTATTGGTTAATGACGTCAGAGGGAAATATATTGGGTCTATCATTATTTCTACATAGTGCTGTCGTTAAACCTCCACAAAACTATGTAACATAATATTTTATATATACTAGGTGTCATGGTATTCGAAGAAGGATAATCCTGATTACTTTTGATCGTGCATCACCGGGACCTTTGAAACTCATGTAGGTCGTAATTTTGCTTGAGCCGATTCCAGGGAGGGTACGAAGAAAGACATCCTTTCTTGTTGAGGGGAAGAAGGTTGAGCTCACCTCCTCATCGTCGATGCCAGGAGTATCACGAAGTGCCTGCCACATTTTTTGAGCAGCCTGCCGCTTAGCTAGTTTCTTACTCTTGCCCTGTCCGACCTGTCGATATTTCAGGATTGAGCACACAATCGTGAATTGACGCTCGTGTGGCAGCCCTGCTTCACCTTCCGTGGTGTACTTTGGTGGTGGCCAATGTCGAGTCATGCACATCTCTTGAAGCGAACCGATAGGGTTACCGATCACCTTATCTTCGCCATAACCACCCTGGAGCTCTTGGAGATTCTGAGAGCTGTCAAAAACAGAATACATTATGAGAAAAATCATTCAATTTTTTTATTCCTAATAAGTCAACATCTGTTACCGTCACTAAACCGTCATGATTTGCATAAAAGTTCTTACAGCGCTGGATTATTAATCTCTCTTTGAACAAACATTACATCAGAATAAGTAATAACATTGTCAAAAACTCTTATAAAAACACAAATAATAAATTCCTACCATTCTACATAATTTTAAATACAGTACAAACAGATTTTTTTTGTATACTATAACATTTTGTTCAATTCATCCGAGCCATAGTATTGTATTCCTATACAATATGTCATGATTCACTTTATAATTCTCAGCTCTAATTAATGAAAGAATTCATTTTTAAAAAACCCACTCACTCTGGGATACTGTTAGGCAGGGGAGCATCAGCTGTCTCAGTATTAACGCCGATGAGCTTGTCGAGGACAGCCTTGGCGGCAGCATGCTTGGCCTCCTTCTTGGACCGACCGGTACCCATTGCTGAAACGATTGGATCTGCTTCAATCGCACGGCCCTTATCTTCGCGTGAATAGACACAAACCAACGACATCGGTAACGGTGACGCGATAGCGGAAGGTTGGCTCATGGATGGCACCCTCGATCTGGACGAGTTCGTACTTGGGCGTAGTGCCACGACGGGAGAGCAACTCCTGCAGTACGGAAACCGGCGTCTTGCTCGGTAGAGCCTTCATTTCCAACCGAACTGCTTCATCCAGCGACAGAGTTTCAGACATCAGCGCGTGGACTGCCACGCGTGGAGCTCTGCTTCGACGATGCACATTATTAGAGTGGTTCGGTACACCAGCTATGCTACCTAGCATTGGGGGTGGCGGTGGGTGACGCATCTCTTCCATTGTTGATTCCTGCGTCATGAAAGTCAAATTATCATGTATTATTATAAGATAACACGTGTTTTAATAACTAACATACAATCTAACATTTGCTTAAGAGAAAACTGTGGAATAATTAATATACATGATAATGATGTATTCCTTTAGTTTGATGCCATAAGGTAGTCTTCTCAATGAGGTGTATCTGTGAAAGACAAATGCTGACTCAGTCTGAATTATACTACTAAAGTTTAATTCATTTCAATTTCACTATATGAAGTGATAAGGGGTCACTGACTCTTAATATTAAGTCAAAGACACAATAGTGCTAGTTTTGCAATTTATTACCATCATTATATGATTGCATGTGCTTTTATGCATGTTATTATTACGTTTCTAATCTTATACAAACAGTGAAGTTTTTTAAGTAGTCTATATATTTATTCAGTATTTATTTAAACTGTATTAACTGTGACTCTACAATATGTTATGTTATGCTTAAACTATAATTAATAACAAGTGGGTTAAAAGTTCCAAAAATATTTTCTAGCATTACAACCCACAATGCGCTTTCTGTGCTGGATGTTTCAAAGAAAGGCCACAAGTTCCAAAGAAACACTGTCTGCTCGTTGACCTACGATTGAAACACGTTTTACTTATATAATTTTCACTGTGGACAATAAGCTTCAAAGAAACCTTTTCATAGCTTCACAATCCACAGTCGAAAAATTAGCTTTTAATACACGAATACACTGTTTAATTATATGTCAACAATTCTTAAAGTGCGTTGTCTGCTTAACATTTGAGGAAAAACAAAGTAAATAATCGTAGCTATCAATAATATTATCGAATCAGAACTGGCCCAGGAATCGGCAGTACTTACAAAACATTTTTGCACTTGCATGACTAACCTTTTAATCATAAACGAAGATTGTTCACGTGGTAAACTAAAAAAACACATATTACTATACTAAAATTACTGATATCCACCAGCAGCTTTTCCATGACATGACAGGTTGCCAGTTTTGAAAAACAAAAATAGAACACTCTGATATAATATAACTCATTCAATGGCTGGTACCTACTGAAAGCAGTGCGTGAGAAAAGCACCCAAACTTGTAGCTGCTTCCTATCACTCTTGGCATTGAAAGAAACTAGAAAAATTATATTCATTCATAGTGAGAAGAATTTCTTTAAACTTAGAAGAATCTAGAGAGTAAAGTATTAGTCTAATTATTATTCAGCATAAATTTGATGTTATCTACATTTTACAATCTTCTGCTCATTCTAGACATATTATATGCCCCAGACAGTCAGTAATCAGTTAAACTGGAAACGTATCATGTAGCCTATTTCTCTTCTATTTAAAAATACATCCCATGCATTAATATTTATTTATAGGTTCAGACCATTCTGAGTTTCATAAAAAGAAATGATCCATTATCTATCCAGGAAGGAGTCTGAAATATATAAACATTAAAATTATGTTGTGTTTCAAATTCATAAGGTGCTGTGGAGAATAACTGCTACACTCGATATACAATAAATATTCTCCAATGGTTTGCTGCGCATCATTGATAATATTAAACATAGCACCAATCACCTTGGCAGCTGCACCTTCACATACAAAATGGTAAAAGTAAACACATTAAATATTAGACTCAGTCAAGATAGATAACATACATTTTGAATCAATGACATAAGAGTCATTACAGAATACTACCTATTAAATAAAGTATAAACACATTTCTGAAAATTTCGTTAATGTCTGACAAATATAAGAAATAAAACATAAATCAATTGTATTGCTTTAATTAGAATTATATTGAATAGCATTATTTCTGCCATCATAACAACGGCGATGCAAAACTTATCAACGACGACGAATTTATTTCTTTTCCATTATACGAGTACATAACAAGTTCTGATATAAATTCTAATATAAATACTTGATTTTTGTAAATGAAAATTTTTAATAAATACTAGATTTAGATAATAACTGGACCTAAATATACATGAATAGGGTCCAAGCGAAGATGGTAACTCATTATACACAACACAGAATGTTAAAAAACGTCCCATATAAAAAAGAGAGCATAAAATCTGTTAGAATCATTGACACCTCGAAGAGTACCGGCCGGCGGCCATGTTAGCGTGGCAGATCGATTGCCGGAGTACTAGTAGTGTTAAAAGAAGTTTCGTTAAGTCTGAAAGATAATATTTGTATTGGAAACAGCGGTAACAGTGGTAATTCTACCATGATAATTTCTAACACTGCAATAAATGGAGGTGATGACAGACAAACGCTAACGATCTCAAATAGTTAAATAACTTGTAATTAATAGGCAATAAACGCGTCGAGGCATCGACCGGTCGTGCGCTCGACGTCGTCGTCGTCGTTGATTCCCGTCATCTTCTTCGTCATTGAGGTTCGGCTTGATTACTCACGATTTACGAAGTACTCGCGCTAACGTCCCAGCTCTCCGTTCTGACTGGCCAATTCCTATGCGAAAAGCGAATCCCGCTTTTTGTGACCGATCCAAGTCTCACAAAAAGCTTGATCCGTTTGACGACAGAAAAGCGGTGGTGGTTTGTGGACTACCGGAGAATCCTTCTTCGATCGCGGCTTCTGCGGCAATACGTGAGATCTGCGCGGTGCGCTTCTCCGACCCAAGCTTTCTCGCGCATCCGATTGCGCATGCGCGTATTGTCAGCGACTTATAAAAAGAACGCATCTAGGGAATTCGGAATCAAGAAGGAAATGTTCGTATGAATGTGAGCTCTCGTTTATTGGTCGTTTATCGGTAATAATGGACTAATCTAAACGTTTGACGGTTATTTGTTTATATAAATATATAAAAACAAATTTGGCTAGGGAATTTTTTTCAAGTAGCCCCTCCATCATCATATTTTCAATTGAATTTTACATAAATCGATGTAGAATCGTTTGTCGGTGATTGATGGTCTATTACTTACAAGAAAAAGTTTATATTATCCTTGTAATTGGAAATAAAACAAATTTGGCTAGAGAATTCTTTTGAACTAGTCCCTCGATGGTTAGCCTGATTCCCCATGGAGCGTATTTTCTGTAAAGCGTAACTTACCACTTGAGTTACACAATTGACCCCCAGGTCTGGACCACGATCTTGTATGGGTGCTTTCCATTTACTGGCACAAGTTGACACAAGTCGACTTGTGTCGTCAAAAGTGCTTTCCATTTGATTTGGGTCGCCGTTTGTCGGCAACACAAGTCGACTCGGGAAGACTCTGCTAGAGCGGTGAATTTACGAGAGTATCTGTGTTCCATTTATTCGTTTTCGAGAGTCGACATGAGTCGACACAAAAGTTATGTAAATGGAAAGCACCCAACAGGTCTGGGCACTTAGGCGAAAAACGCGTAACCTTAAGGTGGATCTACCGCAAGAGGCGTTAGTGTTGAAAATGCGATCACGTGGTACCACTACGCGTGCGCAGTTATCTTTTTCTTGAATACGTGACCTGCAGCTTGTTCGTAATGTGCAATATATACCGTGATTGAAATTGAAAGAAGCAAGAATGACCAAAAAGTGCATCGTGCCTTCTTGAATCACCATGGTAGGAATTTGCATTTGAAAATCTCACAGGAGTTACAAATAAATTCAGTAAAAAAGTTACAATACGAGCAAAAATTGACTGTATACGTTAGTATATCTCCTGTGAAATATTTTTTATTGGAAATTCCTACACTCAAACCGGAGAAAGTCTTTTTACAAAGAGAATTGGACCCTGTGGAACCAATGTCATATAGTGATGCAACATAAATTCAACAAGTGCAAAAGACAGAAAATATTTATACTATTGAACTTAACTACGACAAAAATTCTACTTTTGCAGATATTTCACTTTTTGTACTTGTCCAGAGGTATCTTCATCAAGTTAAAAGTTTTCAGTATATACGCAATTATAGCATCATTCAATTTTCATGACTTTTAGGTGAAGTGGTCCATTTAACTTCAGTTTTTTTAATCATCAATTCTTTATTTGTCTAACTTTAAAATTAGATTATTAAATTTTATTTAATTGGCGTTGCATCGGTTTTTTGTGTGTAACTTTCTTTTTGAATCGGAGATAAGAAGTTGCAGTGAATTTACTGATGCGCATGCGCTGGCATTTTCGACGCTAGCGCTTGCGGACAAAATTGTCCACGTTACGGTTACGATCTACAACGTGGTGAGGATAGGGAAGTGCCCAGACCTGTATACAAGATCGTGGTCTACAGGCGAGTAGACGTCAGACACATGAACGCTTCACAAGAAATAAAACTGTAATGAAGGAATCTTGAGAAATCGGGTCTTATATCGTATCGAGTAATAGTTCGAAAATGTGCCACGAGTGGTGCTGAAGCTATCTCCCTCCTTCCTTCCTTCCTTCCTTTCCTTATACCAGCAAATCACGAATCGTTGTTAGTTTTCCGATAAATAATAGAACGGAGTTGCGGGTTCGCGATTGGCTGCGTAAGTTACGCGTTACAGAAAATACGCTCCATGGGGAATCAGGTTGACCATCGAGGGACTATTTGAAAAAAATTCCATAGCCAAATTTGTTTTTATAAATTTATATAAGCTAACAACCGTCAAACGTTTATAATAGTCCATCATTCACCGACAAACGAGCAATAAATGATACCGAAAAAAATTAGTTCGATCGGTCGTGATGAGGGGTTAACTATATGGAGCTATGAATGTGTTGACTGCTGAATTGATTCAGAAGTTTAGTTCTATGAAAGCATTGACTATCTCTCAGATATTCTTTCATAGGTGGAATTATTTTTTAACTTTACGAGCTAAACACCACTGGCGTGTCTCTCCATTCGAGGAAGCAGCTGCAAGGAAAAGAAAGAAGCTTAACTAGAATGAGATATTACGAAGTCGTACTTCGCGCAAATTCGGGTGGAAAATGAAATCCTACTTTTAAAATTGTCCAACAATGTGACATGGCGTGTCGTGTTTATCGGTGGAATGTACTATCTGTCTTGAAATAATGATCTATTGAATTATCTTAAAGAAAAATTCTATATCTTCCATCGTTACGAAATTAGATTACTACATAACTGATTTCCACATTTTTTCGGTACTTCACTGTTATAATACATCTAATCAATGCATTTGTAAAACTATGTTACGAATTGCGCAAACTGACGTCGCTACCTCTCTTGAACGAGTTTAATTTTTTACGGATTCCTGGCGGGAAATTAGTATCCTGCTCAATACTACTTCATGAAATTTCGGAATGCAAGCCTATTTAACAATAGAATAATCGAACTTCAAAAATGTTAAAATCTTTCCAGATGCACGGTTATATCGTCACTTGGGAGGAATTGCCGGTACAGTCTTTTCTAATGCTATGATCTTGATGGCAGTGACTTATCTGGATTCATAGGACACACTTAGATTTACCCTAATTGTAATTATACTTCACAATTATTATAATTTGAATTTTTTAAATTAGCCTTTAGTAGAGCAACTGTCGTTTTCGTGGGAAAGATTTCTTGTTTATTTATTATTTAAAAACAATTTGCACTAACGTTATCGTATGAAAAATACAATATTTGTTATGCATTTATAAACAGAAAGTTCTCAGTAGTGTAATGGCGCACAAGAAAATTTGAATAAATTGCCATGGTATTATTTTTTAAATGTATTTTAATTGGCTTTAAATAATATTACAACGGGGAATAGATATTTTACAAGTATATATAGGTAATACATGTAGGAACATAATCAAATATATATGCTTTTTCTCATTCAAATGAATTTTTGCACTTAAAATTAATATTACGTATCAGCACGATTATGCACTTTAGCCATACGAAGGGTCGCAATCAACAAAAAAAACAGTAGTGTCGAATAAAATATGAAATCCTATCTTTGACCTAAGCTAATAAAGGGTCTGCCCTAGACATCCAATACACGTACGCATTAATTGTCAAATATGAAGATTTTCTAAGAAAATTTCAAGTAGCGAGACATCGCAATTGGTTCCACGAGTCTTTCAATCACAAATTCTGTGCACCTTCGTACTTTTCCTTTATAAGAATTTTGCCAATTCTGAATTTCGTATGCATTATAATACGTATAATCGGTCGTTTTCTCTGCGAATGTTCGAACATACCCTAAGTACAATATATTTTATTCAGTCTTTCATAAGCATGACCTTTCACTGCACTTTCATCTCTCACTCTTGTTCACTACAAACGGAAACAAAGAGTGCCCTGCTCCGTACAGGAGACATAAAAATTCATTCACATTCATCCTCTAAGATAATTGGGGTTCATACACTATGTACACTTAAGCGGCTTGTGGCCCCTATCTTCTAAAATAATGAAAATATTTTAACCTTCTTTTTGTTTTGATTTGTATCGACTTCGTAAATAAACTACTAACAGATAAACTAAAATCACAGACTCGTTCATCTCTCTAGCATATACACCTTTTATACATCCGCATAAATATAACCATAGCAATCGTTCAAGGCTCAGGTAACCGTGATACAGGTTTACATTCAGTACTCGCTCCAACTGAGAGCACTTGACTCTGTCCTCTGAGACTGAAGAAGAATGAATGAAAGAAAACGAACACTGATTTAGTATTCACAGTCCTATATTTAATTCGGCAAAGAAACAAAAGTGTTCACCGACTAGACAATGATAGAAAGATAATACTCGAGTTCTCAGAGAAGCCAGCACGTAACTATATACATTATAATAATAAAAGGTTAAACGAGGGGATTATGAATCCAGGAGTGGATTCTAACGTTCATTTGTACAAGCGGATATACTCGAATTTCAAAATGAACGAAAAACCTTCAGAATTCCAGGCCATAATTCTATGAAAGAGATCCGCTATCGTATCCGTAGGTCGTAATAGCTCTAGAACTGGAGTGTCACAATCATTCGCTCTCACGCGTCCTAAGGATATCGCTACGCAAATTGCTATTGACAATACCAAGTATATTGTAACAATAGTAGCAGGTAGTCTGGGATAAACATAAACCAATATAACGTAGCATGGTCTGAATAGATTAACAAAATAAGTGCACACTATATCTCTATCTCACTAATCTCCATATTAATGGTAGAAATTTCTACTCAAGATGTCATTCCTTTTTTAACCATTGCCTTTTTTTATATGAACGAAAACAAGGATCAGCATGTCATAGTCTCAAGCACAAGAATCTCCTCCTTAAAGCAATCAATGCTTTGTGAAAGAAGAAATATCGAGACACTTTCATGATCTTCCGCAAGATCACGTTAACTCCTGGTGACTGACACCGGATATACATAGTTTCGTAAGTCGTGGCCCTTTATTCATGGGCCGTAAGCAAATCCTAGGCGAGCTCCCGTTTGGCTTTTGCCTCGGAATAAAATTGAGTACTTTTCGTGGCACTCGATCCTGCCGGCGTGGGATCAAATTGTCGTGTAAGAATGTACACCACAGCCTCATAAGTTGCCATCATGATAGCAGTGTTTGGTATCTGCCTGACTAGCTGTGTAGCCAGACCACGATAGAGTCCTCGAGGACCTTCTTCGGCACAGACCGTACTCAGTGTCTGCCAAAACGTCCTGTACTTCGTTCCCTCTTCTCTCAAACGTGTGCGGGCCACCTCTGAAAATAAATATAACACATTAGTCAATCTAAAGACTGTTCGTTACGCATAAAAATAAGTTGTATAACAACATGAAAAAACGATAGAGTCACTTCTTATCAGTGTACGTCTTGATGTTAAAAATCTGTTGACGTAAATAAAATTTGGTTTGGCCAATGACGAAATTGTATAAGCTGATAGATTTCGTTTCTGGAAAATTTTCCACGAGTTGTAAATTTCAAAAAGCGATAACGCGTGTGATATACTTGTCATAGGATTTCGTAAAAGCCATCCTACATTTTTTTTTGGCTTGCTCGATATCGACGCTCTTATATACGACAGAGGCAGTTACACCACATGCGAAAGGAACATAATTGTAGCATGCCATTACGTATCTCCCTTTTTTCTCTTATGACTCCATCCTTGTAATCTCTGTTGTATCAGCTGTATCTTTCGAACGTAATAGATAAGACCATAGTAGAAACAGGCTGATAAACCTGATTGTTGTGCGCTTTCGCCAATAGCCAAGATTATCGTGGAATAACGTTCCAGTGGTAGAGACTTGAGATTTTTGAGAATGCATATATACGTCACACTCAACTGCCTAGATCATTTATGGCTCCATTCATAATAAATTGTCATAGCGAATTATCTTGAAAGTGTAAACAAGTTATATATGTACTACATACTACTAACGAACGTTAAAGTAGTAAGCCATTATGGACACATTTATAAAGCACTGGCAATACCAGTCCACACATTTTGTATGGGTTGTCGTTTTTATTAATGATAATCAATAGTAATTGTCTATCGACCTAATATCAAAGATGTTTAATTCAATCGCTCTATGACGCTTCATCGGTGACAATTTCAGTGTTCAAAGCACGAGGCGAATTGGAGCGTAATTGCACGTTTAGTATCTGGCACGCAAGATGGACAGCTCGTGCTATGTTTAGAACAACTGGGAGAAACTTATTTGTTGTCGCTGGCATTATTAGTATTGAAAACTGTTTGAAAGGCTCGCTGTTGAGAAACGATTGGATGAAAAAATACATATTCAACCATAGCAGGGGCGTGCTGTGCTAAAGCGTAAAATCTAAAGCTATATTAAATTTTTCTTATGTAGAATCGACCTTAACCTGTCAGTCCTATGACAAGGCTACTAAAACATCCCCTGGAGCCGCTAATTTTAAGTTTAAAATACAGCCAAGAACTTTTCCATGTAAAAATCAATGTCAAGGTTCCACAGCGTCAGTATCCATCGTTAAAAGCCCGTCGTTGCTTACAGCCATTCAACTCAGAATATAGTTTATTACAAATTTTTATGAAGGTTATTTAAGGCGTTTTAGGCCTCTATGGCCGTAGCGGCGAGCTTTATGTAATGATATCCTCCTCTTCGGGATTTGGAACCTTACCAAAAGTTTTGCACAGCCAAATCACTAGGCTCAGCGTGTGTTGGCTAACTTATAGTAGACTCAGTTCGTAGCTCTCGTTATTGATTGATGGCTGATATCGAATGAACCCAGTATCATATGTATATTGAGAACCCGGAATGTATATCTGAAATATATATATATGCACTAAGAAGCTTGTGTCTCGTAATATTGTTCTCATTGTGACATTCGGAAATTTGAATTTCGCGGCAATGCCACTCACGGATTTCTCTTGATAAATTTCCACGAAGTACCAGTACTCGTCGATTAGTTTAGTACATGCAGGTCAGGGTTCAACTTTTTTTTCACACTTCAGAAAAGGCCACCACTCACCGTGAGGATAAGCGATGCACGATGCAACGGTTTTCGAGAAGGCGCCGGCCGCCATGAATTCCAGAAAATCTCGCGAAGTTTTCGAATCGTCATCCGCGTTTGAGGATACTCGTGATCGGTTAGCGATCAGCCAAGCTTTTACAGCCTCGTATATGACAAAGTGGACGACTGTTTCGCTGATACCAAAGTAGGAGGCAACGATACCCTTGTAGAATCCTAGGATACCCTGAAATAAGAAAAAGCGGTAGTGTCATTAAAATGATTGATAACTCAAAATAGTCATATAATCAATATTTCATTCTCATACGTCATAATTTACAGCTCTCTGACTTTTCTACTATAATTTTCACGTTGAAGACGTTTGCCTTATAAATGTTCGAACATCAAAAATTCGGCATTTTAATGATCAGCATGTTCGTCCAGATCCCAAATCCTAAGTAACATCTAGCACCTATGGATCTTAATAAATTTGTAAAATTCAAATTAAAAAAAAAATTCAATATAAAAAGACATTTGCTCTTTTTCACTGTATTAAAACTACGACATTCCCAGATAAGAACAATCTAGGTCCAATAAATTGTTATTCTTATCTCTCGTTTACAAAGTGACAATTATTAATCGCGTAAGAATTTCTGTGTTTTATCGTTCCTAGCGCTTTCATCGATTTCTTTATTAACGATTGCCGGTGTGCACCGACTGAATTTTGCTGGTCGTGCGCATCGCTCAAAATACTAGTCTGTCTACGTACCTACCTACCTACGTGCTCATACATATATAATTATATACATATGTCTTACATAGAAGAGCGACAAGCCAGTGGAAACTTTAAGCGAGGAAAAGACAAAGTGAAGAGTATGTTCACGCGGATAACACATGGTCAGCAGAAAAAAATGAACCAATCGGATGCGCTCGATTTGAATTGCTCGGGTTAATAAATAATTCGTGACACAGTGCGACTATTACGTTGTCATTGACTACTAAGAATTTAATTTGGTATCCATTAAGGATCTAGGGGACGGTTAATAAATTGTACGATGAAAACAATGTTGCGATGGAGTTGGAAAAAAAATGTGCAAAGGTCTTGGAACACACGAATGAATTGAATTTTCATATTACATAATAATAACAGTGCTTTGGGGATAGAACAAAAAGATGTTACTTTTTAAAAGGATACTCACTACGAAAGAATTTCTGTTTGAAAAAGAGTGCTGATAATCAGAAAGACAAGTATGCATCATGATTGTAGATTAATTAATAAACTTGACGCTATGCGGAATGTTATAATTAACGAGATATTAGCAAGGTCCTTAAAGATAGCGAAGATCGTGTCCAATTGAAGATAATAAGAAAGCACGTGAACCTGATTGATAAATCAACCGAATACAAGATTGATGCGAAACTGAAAAATACTGGATACTCATTATCAGAGACAAGCATAATTTCTATAGCGATAACCACACAAGTAAGCGTCTCATGTGAAACCACATTGACACGAATTGCGATCGTATTCTTTTTTCATTTTTAATAAATAAAAAAAAAAAACCAGAACAGACAATAATTTCGCTAAATTCGTGTATCCAGATATTTTAAAACAGTGCTACGTATAGAATAGCAAGGCCATCCGGCATGGAATCCACGAGAATTAAAAATACTCCACGCTATTCCTATTACATTAGCCCTTTAAACTCCAAGAATTATATATGAGTGATTATAGCAACTATGTCGCCCCAGTGACGTGTAAAGGGTTGAACATAATATATTCACAGTGTTACGTCAATTTATTAATCTTGAATCCCGTTCGTTAAAAATAATCACCTTCCTCGTACAACGACCTGAACTCCAAGCCGCCACTCTCATTGAATATCGATATTCAATTCCAATTGATAACAATAAAATGAGACTCGTTTTCACAAAAACTTTAATGCTTACTATAGAAACTTGTAGAAACCTCATAGTGAAGAATTCCAACCCGATACCAAGTTCGTGAAATTGCACGTGTAGAGTAGCAAAGGCCACGAAGTAGTTGCCAATGGGCGTGGCAGTGGCGTTATAAGAAAACTAGCAGAACGACGAAAATGTGCGACACGAAGCAACCTGGTTGTTTACCGAGTGACCAAGTTTCGGTTATTCCCGACGCGGATTGCTATTTGAAGCGTCTCGATGCCATTTTTAAGCGAGGTCGTCCATCAGCTCTCGTCCAAGTCCATGTTATAAACTGATATGCTACTTGGCTCCTAGGGGATGTCAATAATTATTGTCCTTCATAAAAAACGTCGACGCTATTGCAGGAAGCCGATTTTATGTTTCTTCACAAGAATACTCGGCACTTCTTATCGACAGTATCGCTTGGGTTCTGATTTATTTTAGTAACATAAAATTTGTATGACAAACTTAACCCTTCGATTACACAATCTTTATTCTTCATCTTATTCTTCTTCTACGCAATACAACGAACACTGCTATATGAAACGATACAGGCGAAATACAAAACCTGTATGGAGTGAATTCGTACAGGTGCGTAATAGAAGGTTTAAGATTGCCAGTTTAATTTGATAAATATATTTATGAACTATTAACGGTGTACCATAAAAGCTCTAGTTGTGGTTATGATAAGAAAAATTGTTGCACTACGATAATCTTCCAATTATTCTTACCGATTGCTGGTATATCCTTCGCACACATTCCATTGCTGTGACTCGATTTGTCTGCTGATCTAATTGTAATCTGGTTTTCACAAACCATATAGGATTCGTAGCTGTGCTGGCCATGAAACCTGGAATCAATATGAACATTTTGAAAGGTCAAGCTGTGTAAGATTCTTAGAACTCATGATAACAATATTCGCAAGATTAGTCTCAATATCGTTTCCTCGTCTATCATTTCAAATATCAGATAAAATATATTTCATGTCTTTATCAGCTGTTCCCTAAAGCTCAGGTTAGGTAACCAAAATAAAAGACATCTTTCATTAAGTAATTGATGGGTTAACAGGTAATAAATACATAAACCTAGTCTCTCTTTTCATCGTCTTAACTAGGAAAGTAAAAAGGTCCCAAGGGAGAAAAAGCACATAAAGATAAAAGTACAAGTAGCCTAGACTCAGCTGTCTCAGCAGCCAATGTTGTTTCTACGTTGACACGAGTATTAAGCTATACAAACTAGTTAAGAAATATTATCTCGCACGTGATATCTGGGCAATTTCAACGCTTTGAAATCTGAACGTAAAGCCCAAGATGGCGGCATGGCTAGTGGAAGGTAATGCATGTATTTTGATGTCAGACGTGTTGACCCAGATCGTGAAAGCGCGCGGGGCAATGCCCTTCGTGTGTTCTGGCACAGAGTACTGAAAAAAAAAAACCGTACTATGTGCAAGGCAGGAGTGCGTGTGAGGAATATGAATCCAATATGCGAATTTAGTTGGAACAATTTTTGCGACACTTTTCTAGCTCTATCCGACCAGTTGGGTGATCAGAATGATTAAGTATGTTAATTCGATCAGATTACATGTTAAAGGTAGCTACGAGTGCATTTGCGTATTCAATCCATATAAATATTAGCTTTCTAAAGAACTCTCTGATAATTGGAGTCACTGTGTCAATATAATATTTAGCAACAAATGAATATCATAATTATGCAAAATTAAAATCTGTGTACACCATCAATTGGTATACAACAAAGTACAAGGTAAATACCTTAAATTGAACTCTAAGACTAATTACAGTGCTGGTCAAAAGTATCGTTATCTTAACACTGTACAAAACAGGGTACGGCGAAAAGAGCTAGCGTATATACAAAGGGACTAAAGAATCCCTATGGTACACTGAGAAAGAAATACTGTCGTCATAACTGTTTGAATAAGTGTTCACGTGTTCATAAGCATTGGTTAATATCCTCTACGGATATTTGGTTCAACGAAGTTAAAATACGTTTGGGGTAATTAACAATATAAATCAAACTAAAAATTTGCTCTGCCACCCGTGAATGCTGATTTACTCAATCCAACAGTATATTTCATCTCGTTGTGCTCTATGCCCCAAAACAATACAGTTTCGATATAGGGAAATCTTAAGGAATCACACGCACATTACAAACGAGGCTGCAAGAACAGCCGCTCGCCCGCCATTTACGCTTTTCCTCTCTTTCGGCAAAGCCAGAAGAAGAACAGCAGATGCCTACGTGCAGAAGAACGCGTAGGACGACTAAAGATATTTGGGCATCGTGATGGTTTTGCAAGCCATACTACCTTGACTCAAATATGCAGCTATTTTCCTTAATGTTTGTCATGCTTTAAAATTTAAAGAAAAATTTCTAAATTCATCGTTCGCTCTTATATTATCTGATTGATTAATAACGTCTAATCCTAACGACAGTATCGAATCGCCTTTTGTTCTTAACGGATTATGAAATCGATTGGTTAATTATAATATTATCGTGAGAACTCCATCACGCAGTGAACAAGCGTGTGCCGTCCATAGGTAAGACACAGAAAAATATTCAGTACTTCTTAACGCATATGTACGTACACACTCTGACTGACAATAGTTGCTATCATAAGTTGCTAACTGTAATCGTATCGTCTTTATCAGGCCATACGCTCATTTATGAATATCATTTCTATAATAGTCGCGAATGTTTCGTATTTCAAGGTTAGAGGCTCAAACCGCCATATTATGAACATGAGACATGTGTGATCTTATTCTATTTTTAAAAGTAAAACGACCAAAAAACCCAACCACACACTGCGCCTGTATAGCGAAACTTATTAATTACGAGGATAGTATTGTTTCATAATTTTAACGATTATTCATTTACAGAGTCCCTGGTATATAATAACAGACTCCACTGATTCTATCGTTGTTCCCTGGCAATCGGGCAAACGTTCGTTTCTCCGTGCGAACGCCGAGTAAAAATAGTCGAAGCTGACATTCTACGTGATCCGAGGTCGCAAGTCCTTCCGAGCGAAATAGAAAGACTAAGGAAGTTGAGAAAACTGAAAGAGAGGGTCATGCAGCCCTGGTGCACATATGAATGCATTCCTCGTTTCTTATTATGTACGCAAAGTACTCAACTAAGAGTCGCGTAACACTGTGAACAAATATTATTGCGATGACTCGTCTCCGATGAATACGAGTACTTGTTTACGTTCCTAAATAACACGCGATACGCGATTCCATAGACCACTTTGACAGATTTCACTTGCTGACAGGGTGATCAAACATATATATTGCATGGGTGAATTATGTTTTCGTGTACAGTACATACATGTATATATGTATAACTTTATATAGATAAACTATTATATTGTTGATAACCTGATAAGATAGCAATCCTGTCCCACTGAATAATATTACAAAGAGACATCAAGAAGGACAGTACAACTATGTATGCTGTTACAGCTCACTCGAGGTAGCTCCTAAATCTCGGCGGTTCATTATTTTTACAATAATAATTGACAGATTGAACGAGCCAATGTGAGTTTCTGATCGCTTTTGAAGCTATTGCTTTATGCGTTATCAGTTGCGATAACGGTATAGTTATTTTTCGCTGACTAAGGAAAGAATATACATTTCATTACGCAGCGATACACTTACATTGCTCGATTATGTATCAGTCTTGTGTATTACACTTTGATTATGATTTGCATAGACATTCATTGAGGAGCTGAAGATGACGGCAAACAATGTAGTAGGTATTGGAATGACCAATGGAAAATAATGAGAAAGGCCCGCTAGAGGCCATACGTAAATGTACGTGACTGCGTGCACGTGTTCCACGCGTGATGTACTCGGTGTGGCGCAACGAACTAATAATTTATTTTAGATTTTGTATAAAAATGAAAAATGAAAAAGCTGATAACTAATTATAAATAATGAATATTTTATAGGTAAGGCACTGAAAATCTGTAACAAAAAACTCTTACGCTTTATTGCATATTAAAAAGTGACTAAAACAACGTGACTACACGTAAAAGCCTATGATGCTTCGCAGTGTAGTAGATATCAATACGAAGCTGCATGTAAACCTTAGAAAGAGAGTTTAAAAGATTTTTGTCTTTGACTATATCGTTTTTTTGTCCCCCCCCCCCCCCCCCC